TTGGGTCTCCTGCCCAGGAGATTGCCCTAACCACTAGGGTAGTCTCAGTTCTTCAAACTGAAGCTGTTCCACTGGGTTTAAATACTATGCATTGGCCTAGAGGGTGAATGAGTCTACAGCCAACCCATGACAGCACTAGCCCAGTGTTCCAGACCCATTGCTCAGTGACTAAGCATGCTAGTTTTTGTACATCCCATTCTCAGGTGTCTGACTCACCTCAAGCATCGCTCAGAAAGCCTGGGGCCTAACTCAGAGCTCTGGATTCCATTGGGCAGCAGGGCACCTAAAGCTAAGCATAGACACACTGAGTATTGAAGCACCTAATATCCCCCGGGGAATCTCACCCATAGTGATCAGATACAGGAACACCATAAACTTCCTCTTCATGACAGGCCAAACAATCCTGTCCTTCTTGGGCTCCTGCCCCTCTTTTCAGGGTCTCGCCTCTTTCTTTCTTTGTGCAGGGGCTCTCAATAGACATTTCCTCCTAATGCAGAGAAGTATTAGCTGATGCCACCCAAGGGTCCAACTGAGGTGCAGGGGAACCTGACCCCTCCAGCATCCAGGCCACACAGCGGAGCAGTCGTCAGCTCCATTAGTCCACTCCACTGTTTGCCAAGGTGCTTCTGCATATCCTCTTTCGCAGGCCCCTTTTCCAGGTTTCTGCTGGACTCTTCCAAGTTTTTCCCAGTTTCTGGGCACATGTCCTTTAGTAGCTTCTTCCCCAAAGCCACTACATTGGCCTGCTCACCCTGCACTTTACCCTTGCTGAAAGAAGACCGATGCTTTATATCCCAGTGGGCAGTCACAAGGCCATGTCAGTTATGTGCTCCACCTGGGGACAATGACACCCAGACTCCCTGGCCTTAAAGGGACAGCAACTCATAGCAGAAAGGTAGTGCTTGTAAGCTTAGGTATTGCACCAAGTAGAAAGCACTCAGCACAAAATTTCCACAAGCTGCACCTAGTTCTTTTATCTCAGTGTCTCTGAATGGACTCACCAGCTCCCTCCTATGACGGGGTGCTCTATTCACTGCAGTTATAGCACCTCCTCTTGGCCATTCTGGGGAAGAGCTCACCAGAGCTATACTCCTATTGAAAATTGTCCAATCCTGAACTCATGGATCAAATTCACACCCACAGAGAATACCCATAGGGATTAGTACTCAGAGAAGAACAAAGGCTGACTACTAAGCGCAGATGATTAGCGCTTAGATGGGCTTTTTGAACAGAACTGATTGTACCATGCCAAGTATAACCTACCAGGCATAACCTACATGTGCAGGCAGCCAGTTTTAAGTTTGCTTATTGGAATAAAACATTGTAAATGTGGAGTTTCTGTCAAATATGAACATTGTCATGTAAAAAGTGCAATAGAACAAAGACTAGGAGACTCGTGTATAACTGGACTTTGGTAGTTAGCATATAAACACTAAAGCAAGATGGTGCATCAGAAATGAGCTCAGTTCACTGATTTGAGAAGTGTAGTTTAGTTGTAATTATTTACAATTATATTTCAAGTATACTTGGCACAGTGCAGTGTTTATAAACATAAATAAGCCTTGGTAAGTAATAGCAAACTTCACTACAGCATTTGCCCACTACATTTTTTGTTGCGAGGTGAGGAAACTACAGGTCTCTGTGTGTGAGAGGGTGTCTGATGTCATTACTTTAGACAGGGCTACTTTGAAACCAATGAAGAGTTCTGTTTTTAAAATAATGGCATCCTATGTTTCCAATTTTCAAAGCAAAGAAGTGCAGATTAGCTGTTCTAATGACTATACTGGGGTGGATGTCATTTTGTGATGTTACAAACTAACATTTATCAGAGGGGTAGCCGTGTTAGTCTGGATCTGTAAAAAGCAACAGAGAGTCCTGTGGCACCTTTAAGACTAACAGATGTATTGGGGCATAAGCTTTCGTGGGTGAATGCCCACTTCGTCGGATTGGTTCACAATTCTAGTCAAATGAGGTGTTTTACTTTGGCACATAAATAGAGTTCAAACAAGTAACACTGAACTATAGCTTCTTAGCACCAATCAATTAAGCATACCATTCAGGAAATGCTTTTTTTAAACTGCTCCCAATTAGCTTGTTCTATACTTGGAACACTTCTCAACCTGAAAGGTTTTAAGATCCAGATGATTTTCTTTTGTTGCTGAAATTCTAAAATGTTGTAATTATTTAATTACAGAAGGATTCCGTCCAATCCCTTTTGACACAAAGAACTTTTAAACCAAGTAATCAATTAAAATATTTTGCAGTTCTCTAATGCCTTCTAACTACGCATCTCAAAGCACATTACAAACATTAAAAAATTAAGCTTCAAGACCTCCCTGTGATAAGTTATGTATTAATACATCTATTTTATGAATGCAGAAACTGAGGCACAGGGAGGTTAAATGATCTACTCAAAATCAGGAATAGAACACAGATCTCGTGAATCCCAGCCCCAGTCTAAGCATTAGACTAATCTTCATGAAATAAATATAATTGGTTAGCTTTATTTGGAGGCTGTATTGTACTTTTCTGTCTCACAGATATTTGTTGAAATGTCTGCACTCAGGGTCATACCAAAAGGTTGGACTATTGCTACTGTAACCCACAGAGGGGGATCTGTGACAAACAGTCACCAGTAGGTTAAACTAATTCTTGTTTGTTAAGAAAGAAAGAAAGAAAGAAAGAAAGAACAGATAAACAAGAAATCATTCCGGGATTTGCCAAACACTATTGCATTTCTTTACCACCTCTGTTTTAAAGACTCTGCCCAGTATATTCATGGCAGGAAAAGCCAAACAAATGGTCGACTATACAAGGAAAACTGAATATATAATGCAAGCTCTTATGAAAACACAGAGCTGAAAAAATTTTCATTCCAATGTAGCTAGTACTTAATGGCCTCTTTTCAGGTTATGCATGGTATCACTGCATATTTAATATCATCATTTGGAGAAAATGCAGGTTTGAAAGACTTGTGAAGTAGATTTTATGACTAAAAACCCAAGATACAGAGATTGCATTTACAGAAAGTTGATTTTGATTCATAATTTGAACTGTTTTCAAAGCTTGTTTTATGTTTGTATGTCATGAGTTCCCTGCATCCATAGTCCTGGATCTATCCCAAAAGTCCTGAACTGTTGAAAGCTTGTAGTAGGTGCTAAACAGCACTACATTTCCTCTTGATGCATGCAGGGTAATCCTAAATCTTATTAGCTTCCTTTTGCCAATGCAATTTTCCCCTGTGAGTGTGAGCATTTGACAGTGGTCATACATCACCCAGACACCTATCCATGCATTACATATTTTATTTATAAAGGATGAGTAAGACTTGAATATTACAACCCTTTAAAAAGTTTAAATTAACTAATCAAATGGAGGGACCTGCACAGGAGATACTATTTACACAGAATAAAACAAAACTAAAAAGAAAGTTCTTACTCCAAAAGAAGCACAATGAAATATACAAGCATTTCACTTTCTACCAAAACAGTTGTGTAAACATTAACCTAAATCTCTCCCAATCACTTAATTTATTTGTATTCCCTGAAAATAAATCTAAGTCAGCTCTTTGGCACAGATTATTAGTGTCTTAGTTACAATACCTCAAATGTGTTATAGCCACTTAATGCTGCTCCACCAGCACAAAATGGTCCTATAGTTGGCATAGCCAGTCAGGAGAGGATTCACATATTATAAAGGGTTTTCTGGTGACTTTTCTGTCACCTTTCATGCCTATACCTGGCACAGAGTGTCTAGGCCAAGCCAAGTATCAGAGCCACTGTCTCCATAAGGATAAACATGAAGTTCTGGGATAAATATAACCAGGTGTTTTCAGCATGCACTCTACATTTTAACAGTCCAGGGTGCAAAATACTATACTGCATGATGCATTTTCTAAACATCCTCCTAGATTTCTACATATACTCAGCAAAGATGCCACCTGACTGTCCAGCTCTTTTGAAGTGCCTTAGCAAAAAAGCATTCTGGAAGGGTATTCTGAAATTGGACTTCAGTGCTATATGCATCTCCTGTCTGAATTGCCTGGTGGCCAGGTTTGAAGTCTTAAGCCAGTGCAACAAATTCATCTGTAACTGGAAGCACCAGTTCATTTAGCTCAAAATTATTTATCTCAAAGTTTGGTTGCTGTTAATCTTCCCCTTAATCTCTTTGGGACTTTGTCCCAGACACTGAAGTGTTCTGGAATAAATGTTCACATCTCCTTCTTTCGCATCTCTTGTTCACATCTCTCTACTTTCAAAGTGTTCTTTCCTGACCAACCAAACACAGGCACCTTAATTACACATCCCCTTCCAAAATCCTGTATTATAAAATTATTCAGTGTGACACTCACACCATAGTTATGGTTGCAACCAGTTCCCATTACATAAAAAATATATTTTACACCTCTAGGTATAAAAGCCTCTCTGTATCAATCAGTAGCAATGGATTACCAAAATGTAAAATTTCCTGTAAAATCTGAAATTTGGTCTGATGTCTTGTGCTGACTTCTAGATAAATAAGACTTAAAAGAACAAAGTCTACTTCTAAACGTACATTCCCTATTTCTCTAAATTTAAATTCCCTAATTGTACAAAACTGTTTCTAAACATCTTAATTTTGAAACATTTTGTGTGCTCTCTGTTTTGACAGAAGAAATGTGATCTCTCTTCTTATCCAGAAAAGTTTCCACCATGTGAAGTAATAAGTCGGTACCTCTTTCCCAGGTATCAGGAATTACTTCTACTGGGTAATTAAATTAGAAGAGTCACTTCCAATGCTTGGCAATATAAACATACATTAGTTGATTAAATATAATTTTAATAAAAATATTTCAAAACTGCTCAGCTGATGGCTACTCAGGAAACATGTGCTGGAATATTTCAGAGCACAGAGCCTCTCAAATGCTAAATGCCTTCTTTTTTTTTTTTTGACCAGTGAGAACTCAGCCTCTTGTACTACCCCTTCTCATTAGCCAGTTCAGGAAGCCTGCTCGTTTTCTATCAAATATGTCGTCCAGTCAGAAAGAAAAGTGGTCTGTCTTCTTTGGCGTTGGCAGTTTGGAATTCGTCCCTCAGTCGGAACTGCCATTCATCTTCTAGTTCTAGCCGGACAACAGTCTGGCGAAGAGAATTGCGGTCTTGGCAAATAACACACAAGGTAGCACCTACATGAATGGTTAAAACAAACAAGTATGAGTGTTTTGTTTTATTTTCTAAATCATCAACCTGGTCCTGCAAGCTTTCAATTGTCTTCAGTGGGAGTTCTATGCCTGGAAGAGAGAGGAAGGATGGTTCAGTGCTTAGGGTGCTAGTCTAGGACTTGGGAAACCCAGGTTCAATTCCTTGCTCTGTCAGAGACTTCCTGTGTGACCTCAGGCAACTTACTTGGCCTTTCAGTTCCCCATCTTTAAAATGGTGATAACAATACTTCTGTACCTCACAGGGATGTTGTGAGGATAAATACATTAAAGATTGTAAAGTGCTTAGATGTTATGATAATGAGATCCATCTAGTACTTCAGATAGATCACAATCAAGCCTTAGGGCTGGTCTTCACTGCAGGGAGATCAACGCTGCTGCAATAGATGTAGCAGGGATTGAGTTAGCGGGTCTAGTGAAGACCCGCTAAATTGATGGCAGAGCGTTCTCTGGTCAACCCTGGTACTCCAGCTCTCTGAGAAGAGTAAGGGAAGTCGACTGAAGAGCATCTCCATCGACGCAGCGCAGTGAAGACACTGGGATTAGTCGACCTAAGCCACGTCGACACCAGCTATGTTATTTCCATAGCTGGAGTAGCGTAACTTAGGTCGACTTACACCCTCCCCCCACAGTGAAGACAAGCCTTTACATTTGTGACAGTTCCATGGGCCAGATTTTGATGTACTTCTTAGTGTGAATAAGGGTCTTACTGATTGCAGTGGGACTACAGGGTCCTAATTCAGCAAAGCACCTCAATTTTAAAAGAGATTGAGGAGTTCTGGATACTTAAGCACGTGCTTAAATGTTATGTTGAGCAGGAATGGACTTAAGAATGTACTTAAAGTTAAAATTAAGCATGAGCTTAAGTTCTTTGCTGAACTGTGGACTACGTTACTACGCAGTGTAAGGCTGGAAGAATCTAGACCTATATCAATTGTGCCATTTGAGGCCAATATCCTAAATAAGCAATCATGGACAATCAGGATCCAGACACCCTGGGGGGGAAAGGTCTAAACCCCAAAGAATAAGTAACTGAATCAACGGATTCTATACAATATTACTGTACTATAGAAGTATATTGAGTAAAATCTCAAACGAAAGCTAGTGAAACGCCAGTCGTGATCTATGTGCGGATGGTGTGTAAACAGTTATGTATGTGTGCTGGAAATACATCCTAGAATATATTTTTGGGGCAGACATGATAAAAGGAACGTCCTAGACAAAGGAATGTTGTTTTGTGTGTGTCTCCAGTGTCAATTGAGCAAGGTGAGGCCAGAGACAATGAAAGTTACATTTACACACAAGCCAACAGAGGGAAGGGATGTCAGCAGGAAAGGACAAACAGCAGGGGAGAAGAACTTTATGGGGGATACTCTTCAGAATGATACATTTCAAAGGTTTACTGGACTATAAAATGAAGGAGAGTGAACCCCTTAGTTATCTATCACTTAAGGGAAAAGGGGGACAGAACCCTCTGATTCTGTGAACATTGGATCTTCCTGACAGAAGGGCTGGAGATGGAAACTTAACTAACCTTCATTCCTAAAGTTTCCATCTCCAGACCTGTTCCTCCAGGTCAAGATTAAGGCCTTGTCCACGCTGCAGAATTCAGTCTTCAATAGCCAACCACCATTGCAGTGGCGAAACCACTATACTCCATCACTTGTATCAGTCTAGCATACCCCTGCTTGAAACTGGGTTAAGTTGTACTGTACTGATCCAAATGGTAGTTTATAACAGCTTTGCCTGTCTACAGATCTGCAACAATGCAGCTGCGCCAGTGGCTGGCCACTGATGGCTGCAACTGGGACAAATCCCCAGAGTAGATAAGGCCTACAACACAGTGGCAGTGTAGCATGGGAGACGCTGGCAATACAATTGCTTGTTTGTAGATAGAGGACATCAGTCTCCAGTGCCGTCAGTCTGGAACCTTGAAGACTAATTTGATTCATTTGGTTATTATTTGTTATTAATATTAAACAACCCATCCTTTTCCCCCACAATCTACTGAGTAGAATCTTATGGGTAAGATTTTGAAAATTAGAGGGGCACAACTGCAAGCATACAGTGATGCATGCCTATTGCATACACACAAATACCCAATCTGCAAACATACACTGAGTATTTATGAATATACATTAGGCAACTCAATGGTATGTACGCACCAGTGCCTGCCTAATTTCAAAAATCTATAGAACTGATAATACTTGTATGAGGATGTAGGTATTAATCTGCTGTAGTGCTGGATTGGTGTGATCCCAAATGGGGAGACATGGACCTGGTTGACGTACAAAGGCAAAACATTATTTAGTTTCTGCCCAACGGTGGATTTGGCAACTCCAAACCAGACAGACACTGCAATTTGTAACAATCATTCTGCAGCTCACCTTTCAGGAAGTGAAACTTTTTCAAAAAGCTAGCTACAACGAAGGAGTCACAGAGGTAAAGCAGGAGTCCACTAAACATCAAACCAGAGCAACTGATGTTCAAAGAGTGAGGTCGGGAACTCACATAGCAAACTGCAATCTGATTGGAGGAAAGAGGGATCAGAAATTAATTTTCCTCAGACTTCAAAGTAGTGTTGCTTCTTAGGGCTTTGCACAGAGGTGTGAATGTCTGCACCAGTTTAAAGTTTAGCAATCCTTCCTAATTATAGGAATGGTCTTTGTGATCAACCATTTGTGAGCATCCCTACTGCTCCCAAATAAAAATCCCTCCTCTGAAAAAAAAAAGTGTTGTATAAACAGGTAGGTAGACATGGCAGGATTTACATGCCTCAACAACTGTCTCTCCCCTTAAAAACAAATCTGAGACATGCCTTGCACGTTTTACACACACACACACACATACACACACACACACACAGCTGTATGGTCCAATACAGCAAACACTTATGGAGGTTCATAATTTTACTCAAGTGTCAATGGAACCACTTATGTGAGTAAAGTTATGAATGTCCATAAGTGTATTCGGGATTGGGTCCTAAGGTTTTCCCTAGAGACTGGAAACCTTTCGCTTTCCAAAACTCTCTGTTCACTCAGCCTTCTCAGGCCGGTTAAGAACCTTGGAGATTCACTGAGATGTTTAAAGATTTGTCGCTCTCCCCCAATAAAGAAATTTTCCACATAGGACTTTGTGTCCAGAGTACTTCAGCTTATCAGAAATCAGCCAGAAAGGAACTTTAAGGACTTAGAGCATTTGGGGGTAGAGCGAGTTGTGAAGTCTGTTACACAGCTGACTCGGGGAGGAAGACAAATTGGCAGGTCTACCAAGTTTGAACTTCATGTAGTTTTCCAGTTGGATGGGAAGGCCAAAAGAAACAAATCAAAACACTACCAAAAAAACTTGCTAGCATCATTCATACTTGATTTGCATTTGAGTCCAAATATGTATCTTGGTTTTAGAGAGGGGCCTGGTCCGAGCACAGGACTGGGAGCCAGGAACTCCTCAGTTCTAATCTGAGCTCTTGTGTGGAGCATTCACGTCTTGGCTTCGACTGGTCAATGTTTGTAAAATGCTTTGTAGGAGGAAAGTTATAAATATAAATGTAAATGGCCAAGTTATTATATTAAGTTGAGGAAACACTCACGGGACTGAATGGCAATTGGGACGAATTACAACATGGGTTTACGAAAGGCAGGTCGTGCCAAACCAACCTGATCTCCTTCTTTGAGAAAGTAACAGACCTTCTAGATAAAGGAAATGCGGTGGATCTAATATACCTCGATTTTAGTAAAGCGTTTGATACGGTTCCACATGAGGAATTATTGGTTAAATTGGATAAGATGGGGATCGATAGGAAAATCCAGAGGTGGATAAGGAACTGGTTGAGAGGGAGATTGCAGAGGGTAGTACTGAAAGGTGAACTGTCAGATTGGAGGGAGGTCACCAGTGGGGTTCCTCAAGGTTCGGTTCTGGGTCCGATTTTATTTAATCTATTCGTTACTGACCTCGGAACCAAATGTAGGAGTGGGCTGATAAAGTTTGCGGATGACACTAAGTTGGGAGGCATTGCCAACTCGGAGAAGGATCGGGATATTCTGCAGGGAGACTTGGATGACCTTGTAAATTGGAGTATTAGTAATAGGATGAGATTTAATAGTGAGAAGTGTAAGGTGATGCATTTAGGGATGACTAATAAGAATTTCAGTTATAAGCTAGGGACGCATAGCTTAGAAGTGACTGAGGAGGAGAAGGACCTCGGAGTCCTGGTTGATCGCAGGATGACTATGAGTCGGCAATGCGACGTGGCTGCGAAAAAAGCTAATGCGATCTTGGGATGCGTAAGGCGAGGTATTTCTAGTAGGGACAGGGAGGTGCTGCTTCCGTTATACAAGGCGCTGGTGAGACCTCACTTGGAGTACTGTGTGCAGTTCTGGTCTCCTATGTTTAAAAGGGATGAACTGAAACTGGAACGGGTACAGAGAAGGGCAACTAGGATGATCCGAGGAATGGAAAACCTTTCCTATGAAAGGAGACTCGAGGAGCTTGGTTTGTTTAGCCTAACCAAAAGAAGGCTGAGGGGGGATATGATTGCTCTCTTCAAATATATCAAAGGGATAAATACCAGGGAGGGGGAGGAATTATTTCAGCTCAGTGCTAATGTGGACACGAGAACGAATGGATATAAACTGGCCGTGGGGAGATTTAGGCTTGAAATTAGACGAAGGTTTCTAACCGTCAGAGGGGTGAAATTTTGGAATAGCCTTCCGAGGGAAACGGTGGGGGCGAAAGACCTCTCTGGCTTCAAGATTAGGCTAGATAAGTTTATGGAGGGAATGGTTTGATGGGATTACGTGATTCTAATCAATTAGGCAATAACGGCCATCGCTGGTAAAATGAGGGTCTGGCTAGAGATTCTTGCCTGTATGCTCGGGGTTCTGCTGATCGCCATTTTTGGGGTCGGGAAGGAATTTTCCTCCAGGGTGGATTGGCAGTGGCCCTGGAGGTTTTTCGCCTTCCTCCGCAGCATAGGGCAGGGGTCACAAGCTGGAAGATTCTCTGCGACTTGAAGTCTTTAGATCACAATCAGGAGACTTCAACAGCAGAGATAAGGGAAAGTGGGGGGGTCAGCTTTTGTGGCCTGCATCATGCGGGGGGTCAGACTAGATGACCATATTGGTCCCTTCTGACCTTAAAGTCTATGAGTCTATGAGTCTATGGGAAAAAAAATTCGGAGGCACTGGTCATTGAGACCTGACTAGAAAGCACAGGCTAAATTACTATAACTATTCCTTACTACAACTGTAGGATTGTGCTCGGTGTACTTTATTTTTAGTGTGCATAGTCATTCATAGCTTCTAACCATTCATTTCCTTTTTTGTAACTTACAAATTGATTTTTTAAATATCACAACAATCTATATTATACAGTTCAGAAGCCATGTAAAAATCTCAAAGGAATAGATCACAGAACTAGTACAACACTTGGGTTAAATATGGGCTGGCCTAAACTGCAGAGCTACTTGAAGATCATTTTGTTCAGTACCTGTGGTCCTAAGTTAAGGTAACAGTCCACAGATAGCACTGGATGGCTATAATTCTTCAGTGAAAGAGGAAAGAAACGATGGCTGTGGTACTGGAGATATTTTTCAAGCAGCAGCTGAGCAGGTGCTGCTAAGAAGGTGTGCTTGCTGTCAGGAGCACAGATATACTGAGCAGGTGCGGTTGAGACTGGAGTTTCAGAAACCTACATGGAAAAACATTGTGATATTGATAAATCCTGATCAGCCAAACCCCAATCATCTGAATTTGGGGTTGTACAAAATGTATCTCTGTCCCAAAAATCCAAAATGCATATAGCCACCAAAAATAGGTTATCCAAAACTCCTATTACCCAAAGGTTTCAGTTATCCATGGAAAATTGGAGTTTAATTATAGTTAAATAGCATTTTGGATTCTGCTTTGACTCAAAAAGTTCTTCCTGAACATGAAATGGTGTAAGGAGGAGTTATTAAGTAATACTTTACAACAGTTCTACATCAAATTCACAGTGAAAGTCTTTCTTGTTTGAAAAAAAAATTATGTGGTTTAAGACATTACACAGGAAGATGACATAGGAAGCGGTCAGGGTACATTTATGCCGTGGGAATTGTGGGTTCCAGGAGTTTCATGTTAAAAAAAAAATCTAATGGCACATGTGTCCCATCTCTGGCAATAGAATGTACACCAACAAACCTCACTCTCTACATTAAAGGTTAATGACTGCACAAACAAATAACTAACAATGAAAGATAATTATCAACTTTTACCTTAGACTTAATATGAAAGGACCTGTGTCCTCCTACTGCAATTTGCTTCTTCATGACACTGAAGCGATTGAACCGACAGATCAGAAGACCGGCACTGTGGGCACGCAGGTTGAAATCAACATCATCGCACATAAATCTAGCAGGAGCGGAAACCACAGCTATTAATAAACATTGCTTGTTCTTGAACATTAGCAGACATATAGGCACTCAGATACTACAGTGAGGCAGATTGTACAAATAGAAAAGAGTATGATCCCACCACAAATAAGGTCAATATAAAGGTTTCCACTGACTTCAAAGGACATGGATTAGGCCCTAGATGAGACACCCAGAAGTACACGTCTCTGACCATATATTTCTCCTCTGTAACAAGGAGCATGTAACTGTTGAAATTTTCAACTTCCCTCTGTAGAAATGCTATCAGTCTACATCAGTGAGATCAAGCATTTAAAAGTCACAGAATCACTTCTTCATCCAACAGCGTTGCAAAGAGCCACAATTAAGCAATATGGGCCAAATTCATCCATGTCTTAAGATTTAATTGGGTTGGATTTGGCCCATTTCAAATTAGAGATGGAACCGAATGGAAACTATCAATCCTGATCTGAATTCAGTCCAGATTTAGCAGGTCAAGCTTCTAAAATGGGCCATACCCATGTACCCTCATCTTTGGGTAATATTGATTCTATTTATTCCCGATTGTAAATATACATGTTCTACAAGAGAACTGGAATGACTTTTAGAAGTATGAGGATCTGATCCAGGATTTGTATCTGCGCTTTTGGTTTCACACATCTCTTCTCAGAAGTCAGAAAATCCCTATGTAACAAGCATTTTGTAAAATAGAGTTACTACATTCACCAAAACAGCAAAATAAAGATTACAGGAGGACTGGTTCTATTTAGGGCTCAGTGAGTAATCTGCCATTTAAAGCTATCAGTTTTTAAAATTATGGCTCTGTTGATAGATACTCTGTTGAGTGATACTCACATGTGTCTTTGCTATCTCTGGCTGACTGTGTCTCTTTTTGATTCAAAATGCCATGTTTTCTCACCACCAATTCATCCTTGGAATGTCACACAATATTGCCCAAGCCTTAACAGAGAGCTGCATGCAGAACTATGGTGAGTCACCAGTGATTAAACACCCACAGGTTAAGTATTGCTAGTGTAAACTGGCATAAAACCTTATTCTTGACATTTTTGCATCACTCTATGCATTAATATTACTTTGCTTTATTGCATTGTTGGGTCCAGTACTATTCAACATTTTAATTAACGACTTAGATAATGGAGAGCAGATGACACCAAGCTGAGGGAGGTTGAAAGCACTTTGAAAGACAGGATTAGAATTCAAAACAACCTTGGCAAATTAGAGAATTGGTCTGAAATCAACAAGATAAATTTCAATAAAGACAAGCATGAAAGTACTAACACTAAGGAAGGAAAAATCAAATGCACAACTACAAAATGGGGAAAAACTGGCTAGGTAGTAATACTGCTGAAAAGGATCTGAAGGTCATAAATTGAATATGAACCAACAATGTGATGCAGTTGCTAATATCATTCTGGGGTGTATTAACAGGAGTGTCTTATGGAAGACAATGGAGGTAATTATCCCACTCTACTCAGCACTGGTAAGGCCTCAGTTGGAGTACTGTGTCCAGTTCTGGGCCCTACACTTAAGGAAAGATGTGGATAAACTGGAGAAAGTCCAGAGGAAAGCAACAAATGATAAAAGGTTTAGAGAAGCTGACCTGTGTGGAAAGGTTAAAAAAACTAGGCATGTTTAGTCTTGAGAAACAAAGACTGAGGGGAGACCTGATAACAGTCTTCAAATATGTTAAGAGCTGTTATAAAGAGGACGGTGACCAATTATTCTCCATGTCCACCGAAGGTAGGACAAGAAGTAATGGGCTTAATCAGCAGCAAGGGAGATTTAGGTTAGATATTAGGAAAAATGTTCTAACTATAAGAGTAGTTAAGCTCTGAAATAGGCTTCCAAGGGCAGTTGTGGAATTCCCATCACTGGAGGTTTTTAATAACCCCTATCAGAGACGGTCTAGGTTTACTTGGTCCTGTCTCACTGGGGGGTGGGGCTGGGCCAGACGACTTTTTGAGGTCCCTTCCAGCTCTACATTTATTCAATTCTATGATTATTGTTTTCTTAGATTAGCACTCAGCTTTCCATTCAAAAACGGCCTCAAATGGTAATACTCTGTGTGAAAATGTACTATGCCCCCACAGGCTAAACAGCCTGAGAACACCGCTGTATACAGGAGATACATGTGGCTATGGTTCTAGTGCTCTTGAAAAGTGCCAGTGACAGACTTGAAGATTTAAGTCACCTGTTTATCCATAGAATAGTTAAAGCAGAGATGCTTCCCCACAAATATGCCTCAATCTAGATTTGGAAAGATCACTTCTAGAGGTGATAGTCTCTTATCCTATTCAGCCCTGTGCCCCTCTGACAATTAGTGGCAAATGTGGTGGTGGTTTTGTGATGTGAACACTTGTCCCCGAGGAACTGAGTTCACTATTTCACATGGGTTAATGAACAGCTGCCAAGTGGTATCTGTAGTGAACGGAGCTTTAAGAACCACAGTGACTATGCTTGGCACCTTTAAGGTCTGGAACATTATGTGTGGCCCAGTTAAAAAAATGGGTAGCAGAAGGTGGGTTGGAGATTGAACCCAAGAATGGAGTGGGCTGGATGCAGCTTCTCCCTAAAGGCCCCCCATCAATGTTAGAGGGATTTGTTTTTGTTGTTTTTCTTTCTTATTATTGTTCTCAACCAATTAAAGTTATTGTATTTAATTAAAGAGTATGCCTAGCTTAGGTGGAGAGAGATAACAGTCTTTTTAGCCACTTCTTACCTGGGCTGGACTGGAACCAGCAACTTAGATGTAAAATTTATCTCTATTCTATTAGCAGTCTCCTGAGAAATCCAATTCGAGTGAGTGAGAGCTTAGCCAGAGTGAAGGCTGCATGATTTGGTCCTTGCTCTACATTAGAGGCGCCTATGGATTCACTCACCTGTTCTGGTTATATTGGACATTCTGAGTCAGATCCACATTCAGCATGATGAAGTCATGTACATGGCAACAGGAGAATGGTTCCCTGATCTCACCACTATTTGTTTTACTAGACCATTTCCTCATCCCAATCAAGGCGTAGTGAGTGACATTAGGGGTTGCTTCAATGTGTTGCAGAATTTGCTTCAAGGAAACGTTCCTTTCAGTCCATGTATATTCACTACAATAGGTTGGAAAAAAATGTTTCAGATTCAAAGTGTACAAAAAATAATCCAGTTCATCTGAGCAGTATCTTACAATAGTTATAAATATGAGCATAGTAAACAGGCAGCAGTGATGCTAGACCTACTGCCTCATCTACCTAAAGCTCATTTAGCTTGGGCTGACATTATAGGTTTGAAACTCAGCCTGGATTTCTCAATATGTTCATTAAGGTTTGTAAATGTTTTAAGTTAACCTAACTCTTGCTCCAAGTGATCCTGGGAAGATATGTTTACCATCAGCCCATTACAAAACCACATGGAACTTTTCAGTTTTGACTGAACTTTGCTTTTGTTTTGGGATTTGACATAAAATCAAACATACAAATTGAAACAGAAAAAAAGATTTCTCCAAATCCCTGCACAGCAAAGCTGCTGAATTTAGCACAGCTCTGGTAATAAGTAAAACTGGCCCAATCAAGTACTGTTTTAAAAAGCTAAGAGACTTGTTTTATCGTTTGCAAACTGAAATAAAGTAGAAGTCACATTGGCTCCTTTGATAGTCCCAGCCTAAGAGATGTACTGTAGGTGGCCAACTCCCCCTGAATTTCCATTAACTCCCTTAGTTCCTTCAAAAATCTTACCCAGAATGCCACCCATGTGCCTCAACTGCTGAGTGAACTTGATGGGGGTAGCAGCAAATGGGACAGACCCGGCAGCAAGACCACTAGGTACATCCTCCACCCTGGTAGTCTCTGGCACCCACTGGTCAGTTGGGGGGAAGGATGCTGTGTGGTCTACATCCCCCAGCTCCAGCACCATGTGGAGTCTCTTTTGGCTCTGTTCCACCCCTACCCACCCAGAACTAGGAATGGGAATCCAGCCAGCAGATGCTGTGGATCTAGCCCAGAGGTGGGCAAACTACAGTCCACGGGCCACATCTGGCCCATAGGACCCTCCTGCCCGGCCCCTGAGCTCCTGGCCTGGGACCCTCCTGGCCCCCGGCCCCTCCCCTGCTGTTCCTCCTCCCCTGCAGCCTAAGCTCGCTCCATCGCTGGCACAATACTCTGGGTGGCGGGGCTGCGAGCTCCGGGGGCAGCACAGCTGCAGAGCCGGGGCCTGACCCAGTGCTCTGTGCTGTGCTGTGGCGTGGCTGGCTCCAGCCGGGCGGTGCAGCTGCCTGTCCTGGTGCTCTGGGTGGTGCGGCTGTAGCGCTGCCAGCCACCGGTGCTCCAGGCAACGCGGTAAGGGGGCAGGGAGCAGGGGGGGTTGGATAGACGGCAGGGGAGTTCGGGGTGGGGGTCAGGGGGCGGGGGTGTGGATAGGGGTCAGGGCGGTCAGAGGGCGGGGAACAGGGGGGTTGAATGGGGCAGGAGTCCCGGGGGGGGCCGTCATGGGACAGGGAGCGGGGGAGGGTGGATGGGGCAAGAAGCAGGGGGGGTCGGATAGGGGGTGGGGCCGGGCCACACCTGGCTGTCTGGGGAGGCACAGCCTCCCCTAATCGGCCCTCCATACAATTTTGGAAACTGGATGCGGCCCTCAGGCCAAAAAGTTTGCCCGCCCCGATCTAGCTGTTCGTCCATTGGGGGTCAGAGAGGATTTTTTCTCCCATAGGGCCAATTGGCAGAGGACAAGGGAGTTTTTCACCTTCTCAGCATCTTTGAGACACAGTAGGTTAAGTAGTAGGGCTGTCAAGCTATTAAAAAAATTAATAGCATGATTAATCGCACTATTAAACAATAGAATACCATTTATTTAAATATTTTTGGATGTTTTCTACATTTTAAAATATATTGATTTCAATTACAACATAGAATATAAAGTGTAAGTGCTCACTTTATATTTATTTTTGATTACAAATATTTGCAGTGTAAAAAACCAAAAGAAATAGTATTTTTCAATTCACCTAATGCAAGTACTGTATTGCAATCTCTTTATCATGAAAGTTGAACTTACAAATGTAGAATTATGTACAAAAAAACTGTATTAAAAAATAAAACACTGTAAAATTTTAGATCCTGCAGTCCACTCAGTCGTACTTCTTGTTCAATCAATCGCTCAGGCAAACAAGTTTGTTTACATTTGCAGGAGATAATGCTGCCCGCTTCTTGTTTACAATGTCACCTGAAAGTGAGAACAGGCGTTCTCATGGCACTGTTCTAGCTGGTGTCGCAAGATATTTACATGCCAGATGCGCTAAAAATTTATATGTCCCTTCATGCTTCAACCACCATTCCAGGGGACATGCATCCATGCTGATGATGAGTTCGGCTCGATAACAATCCAAAGTAGTGTGGACCGATGCATGTTCATTTTCATCATCTGAGTCAGATGCCACCAGCAGAAGGTTGATTTTCTTTTTTGGTGGTTCAGGTTCTGTAGTTTCCATAATGGAGTGTTGCTCTTTTAAGACTTCTGAAAGCATGCTCCTCACCTCGTCCCTCTTAGATTTTGGAAGGTACTTCAGATTCTTAAACCTTGGGTCGAGTGCTGTAGCTATCTTTAGAAATCTCACATTGGAACCTTCTTTGCGTTTTGTCAAATCTGCAGTGAAAGTGTTCTTAAAATGAGCATGTGCTGAGTCATCATCCAAGACTGCTATAACATGAAATATATGGCAGAATGCGGGTAAAACAGAGCAGAGGACATACAATTCTCCCCCAATGAGTTCAGTCGCAAATTTAATTAACGCATTATTTTTTTAACAAGCATCATCAGCATGGAAGCATGTCCTCTGGAATTGTGGCCAAAGCATGAAGCGGCATACAAATGTTTAGCATATCTGGCACCTAAATATCTTGCAATTCTGGCTACAAAAATGCCATGCAAATGCCTGTTCTCACTTTCTGGTGACATTGTAAATAAGAAGAGGGCAGCATTATCTCCTGTAAACAAACTTGTTTGTCTGAGCGATTGGCTGAACAAGACGTAGGACTGAGTGGACTTATAGGCGCTGAAGTTTTACATTGTTTTGTTTTTGAGTGCAGTTATGTAACAAAAAAAATCTACATTTGTAAGTTGCCCTTTCACAACAAAGAGATTGCACTACAGTACTTGTATGAGGTGAATTGAAAAATACTATTTCATTTTTACAGTGCAAATATTTATAATAAAATATATACACTTTGATTTCAATTACAACACAGAATACAATATATACGAACATGTAGAAAATATCCAAAATATTTAATACATTTCAATTGGTATTCTATTGTTTAACAATGTGATTAAAACTGCAATTAATTGCGATTAATTTTTTTGAGCTAATCACGTGAGTTAACTGCGATTAATCGACAGCCCTATTAAGTAGGAATGTGCTTAGTCCCTAACTGAGGTAATTGGTTGCACTGTTAATTTGTCTCAACTTGTGGCCAGTTTCCAGTGTGATTAAAAAGATACAGTGCACGGTTCCCAGAGGTAAAAGACCTTGGATTTTCCTGATGGGACGTGGGCTCATGGGGTAGAGGGAGATCTTGTAACCCTTGTGGGCTAAGGCCTGACATCCCCACCCTTCTGCATCCTCTGTCTCCCATATGGGTGGGGGAGGGGGTAGGATTCAGAGAGAGCTGAGTCCTGGGAGGGGGTAGTTGAGGAGAGCCTAGCCTCAGTGATGGGTTTTATGGTAGGAGCCCTGTAACCCCTGCACTGGAACCACTTAATGCCTGGTATAGGTGAGCGTGGCTGATGGGCAGGTAGTGCCCCTCCCCTGTGGTAAAGCTAAATAAAAGTTCTGGTCTGCCACTTAAAATCCATCCATGTGTGTCTGTACTCCTTGCACCGCTGTATCCGGATCAACTGTACATGTGACGGCCACCCCTCTTGGCCAACACAGCTGGGACTGAACCACACAACTCCAGAGCCAAAAGCATGAGTCACTCCAGCCTGAACTGAAGTGCCAAGCGGTATGGCTGAAGCTGTAGACTGGGAACAGATGGGAACTAACCTACATGCAGACAAATATATCAAGAAATATTTCTCTGTCGCCAGGCAAATATTATACCCTACTTGTTACACAGAGTAAAAGCCTTGCTGTTTCCATGATATCATTTCAACAAGTTGTGCTCAGAGTTTAAAGTGATCAGCTGAAAAAAGTCATGTTCCTTCATTATGGTGTTTTACCTCTTTCTGTCTCCTGAACAATCGATTTCTACCGCATTCCACATAACACAGGAATCATCCGAAATGACAATGAAAGGCCAGATATCCTGGGGTTTAATCCCCAGTTCTTCTTGCCGATTTCGTTCTAGTTCCAGATTGTGATAAGACAGCTCTTTTATTAGAAAGTGTGCAGCACCTGAAACCAAAAACAGCATAAACAAGAGGAAAATTCTGGGATGGGAGGTGGCGGTGGCAGGGGCAGGAGTTGTTTGTTGATAAGTGCCAACCTTTCAAATGTTCATGGAGCACAGTGTGGCTCACTCACTCTGAAGGTTAATAATAATATTATATAAGGAGATACACCTATCTCATAGAACTGGAAGGGACCCCAAAAGGTCATTGAGTCTAGCCCCCTGCCTTCACTAACAGGACCAAGTACTGATTTTTCGCTCCAGATTCCTAAGTAGCCCCTGCAAGGATTGAACTCACAACCCTGGGCTTAGCAGGCCAATGCTCCAACCACTGAGCTATCCCTCCCCCCACTACAAGGTTGGTAATTAAAGGACTCCAGAGCCAATCTGTCACCATCCCCTACCAAATGCAACTGAGTTGATGGGTGTGGGTGTTGTATCAGGCTGCTAAGGCCACATGGGACACCACTGAGGAAACTAATAAGATGAGTTTGATTTTTGTGGTGGGAATTTATGTGATGCCTTTAAACTGCGAGGGGCAGATTTACCTCCACTGATACCTCCTGGCACCAGCCACTGCACATGGGGACGGACCCACCTAAGTGATGAAAACCATAATTCCCTCTGTCTGTCCACCTTGGGGGTCACACCAGAGCAGACTCTGGGTGCTCCATAGAAACCCTTCTGGCAGATGCTACCTAAAAAATGCACAGGATCAGTGCATTATTAGGCACCATAGCCACTCCCCGTCCCTGGCCAGCACCAAACTCATTTAGGGCTATGCTAGTCAGCTATGAGCCCTGCTCAAGTTCCACTGCCTTGAGATGCTGCAGTTCCTCCCACTGACAAATGTCCTGTGGCCAAGGATCCTCTGCTGCATGTTGCAACTGGGAGAAAATGCCCCAAAGTCACATGCCTTCTTCACTAATGTTAGCATTATAAGGTTAAGTAGGAATGACTTATCAGGTGCTAACTGATTTTGCATTTACTTGGGATACAATACAGTTAACCACCTATCACAGTAAAGAAGGAGGGTGTGGTTTCTGAAGCACAGTATATATGGTGAGATATACTGTGTTGCAAGAGATCACTTATTACAAACCTCTCGGTGAGGGCGTCTGTACAATAACACACATATGTTTTACCTTTTTTTTCTCCTCCTAATACCTACCTACTCCAGCACTGTTGAAAATACTCGGCAGCACTAGCATGATGTGGTTCGGCCAGTATTTTTTATATATGGCCATTTCATACTCCTTGACAACTAGAACATGCAAATGGCTGGCACCATCCATTGCATGATACAGGTTGAAAAGTCCATGTTCATGACGCCCAGTTGTGGGAGTAAAAGTGGGGCTTTTTATGTAATCCTGACTCTGTAAAGTAAATACAAAAATGAAGGATGAGTCTCTGTATTATGCTGAATATTATTTAAACAAAAAAGGCCAGATCCTCAGGTGGTGTAAGTCAGCGTACAATGGAGCTATGCTGATTTACACCAGGTGAGAAACTGGCCTAATATCTAAATAAAAGAGAAATTAGGAATTTTTATAAGAGTTGGAAGAGAACAACTTCTATCAAGTGACAAAGAAAAGGGTCTTGATCGCTTGATTGGCTGGTAAGAGAGGGATAGATACATATAGCCCCAGATGGGATTGCTAAATCTTGATCTACCAGGGATATAGGATCCTCAGTGGCTTGACAGGCCCTGAGGAAGGAAAAAGAAAGTAAAGAGCAGAAGAATAGAAAGCAACCAGACATTAAGAGAAGTGAAAGAACAACGAGAAAAAGACTAAGATGATAAAACTTTACACAGCTATAGTGACCTACATCCAATGATCTCGTAGCACTTTGCAAACATGCATTAAGTCTTACAGCAGCACACCCTATGAAGAAGGTAAGTATTATACAATTTTTACAGATGAAAAAAACACAGAGAAATTAAGTGATTTGCCAAAGGTCTCACGGCAGATCAGAGGCAGGGATGGGAATAGAATCTGTGGAGACTTGACACCTAGTTCCCATGAAGTAACCATAGTAAATTGAGGGTGTTTCCGGTGGCACACAGTAAATTGGGATAATTTTGTATTCTCATCAGCTGAAAAACACAACGCTCTCTCAGATAAAAGGTGTTGCGTAACTTCAAGTTTGATTGCAGTCTGGCAGATGTATATTAAAAAACATGCTCCTACCTATTTAGGTATAAGCTGCCAAAAGTGAAGGATGGAGTATGGATCAATAACTTTTTTGTGGACAGCTTACCTTCTGCACCATAAAATCTCGGCTGCTACTACTGTTCCACAAATTGCTCCAGTAGTCTAAAGAGAGTATACTTCATTGAATCAGGCAGAGATTGTTCCGGGCTTGCAGGGGTCATTGTACAGGCTCATATCAGAGACAAGACAGACTGCTCAGATTGATAACCTCTGCAGCTGTCTTCCCTGAAGCTACCATGAGGTTCTGCACAGTCACCACAGAGATTCTTTCAAAACTCTCCTTTATGTTATCTGGTGGAACCACTTACGCAGGCCAGGACAGGCAAGCCAGTGATAAATTGCTTCCTCTTACTAGTCATAGGCTAAACAAAAACATGTACATTTGATTCTCAAAGCTGAGACCATTCCTCTCTTCAGTGTGTTTATCCAGAACCCTGAGAACTCCTGAGTCACTGCACAACAATCTCCAATTGTCATAGTCCCAGCTCACAAACAGTGTGTGCCCAGGACCAGCCTTGATTATGAGTAAGGCTATGATTATGTCACAAAGGTTGCAGAAGTAACTGAAACAGTGACTTCCAGCGACCTCTGTGACATTGGGGACCCCCGCAGCTGACCAGCCACTGCCAGCAGCGGGGGACCCTGCAGCAACCTAGCCTCCATGGGGGGCGGGGGACCCTCCCACAGCTGCCCAGCAGGAACCCCCGCAACTGACTGTTCGCCGCCGGTGACAGCAACCCCTGAGCTGCCCAGCGGCTACCACAGGGGTCCCTCCTGTAGTGGCTCAGCTGCTGTGAGCAGCCAGGCCCCTCCCCGCAGCTCCCAGCCACCGGGGATGGCAGCAGAGGGACCCCAGAGCTGCTCAGTGGCCGCGGGTAGGGGGGGCCCTCCTGCAGTTCCCAGGCATGGGCAGCGGTGGCAGAGGTACCCCGAAGCTGCTCAGTGGCCAGGGGCAGACGGGCCACCCGCAGCTCCCAGCCCTGCAGGGCAGTGGGGGGACCTGTCCAGCTCTAGCCCCACACAGTGGCAGCCACTGGGAAATGGGGTCCCTGCAGCTCCCATCCGCTGCAAGGGGGACAGGGTGCTGGATCCTTCTCCCTCCCTATTTAGTCAGAGCTGTTTTTAGTAAAAGTCAGGGACAGGTCACAGCTTCCATGATTTTTTGTTTATTGCTCGTGAGCTGTCCATGATTTTTTTTCTAAAAATATCCATGACAAAATTGTAGCCTTAATTATGAGCAAAGCAAGTATTTGATTGGGACCTTGCATTCCAAGCAATTTCTGCAGCTTGTCTTCCTCTCCAGCAAGGGCACCCAAGGAGAAGGAAACAACTCACTGCCAGACCATTCTCACCATCTCCCGGCAGCAGAACCAGTAGTGAAGCCAAAGTATGATCTGACCCTACAAATCTTTAGATCAGCCCTGTCTATGCCCCATATGTGAGTATAAATATAGTTATCCATCTACCTTATCTGTGACAAGCGGTAACCTCATACTTTCCAGCTGTCTTCCTGGTTGACTAAAGACAAAATGGTGCTCCTTTGACTTGGGGATGATAAAATGCAGCTGGATCTCCTCTCCGAGCATGGAATAGGAAAAGGCAAAAGCATGCAGGGTGGACTCATAAAGCTGAGGGGGGGAAAAAGGACAAATTTAATTATTAGATTCTAACTTTCCTTCTCAAGAGAGCACAGAACAGTCCGTGGACACCACTAAGTCAGCGCCAAACCAGAAGGAAACCACACATGGCACAGGAATACTTTTTACCTCATAACTCATATTAATACTAATCAGTGACATTTGGCTCAAGCCCAACATATTCACTAAACAATTTACCCAGCTTCCTGGCCAGAAGTCGTCAATTTGCTCTTTGTTTCATTGATGGTAGCAAGGCTTGTGGGCCAACCTCGTTTCTCAGTAATGCCATGTGCTATACAATAGCTGCAGTACTTGCGTTGCTGATGCCTTTTTCTTCACATTCTAATGAGCAGCGAACTGGAAGGTTTGTTTGAATAATCAGAGTCCACATGATGTGTATCAAATGCTCTCTGCAGCAATCAACTTACTATCTTCAGCAACTGCTCTGCCCCAGAGCAAATGTTAATAAACTCTAGGGGAAGGTTTACTGGGAAATCAATGATCATTTATAGTGGTTAGTGTAGAATGTTGATTATAGCACTTCATAGGTCAGTGGGAATGATCCAAGGAACAGTCGTGCAAAGTCCACAGAGTGAAACTGTTGACCTCCATGACCTTTACTGACCCTACCAGCCATGAATCTGGTTACTCAAAGAATACCAGAAGATATTCACAATGTGCTTTTGTCATGCACTGCTGCCACTATCAAAAATTAATTATCACTAAGATAAAACATTTTGTCTAAACAAAGATCCCAAAACTGCAATCCAATCCACTCACACAGACCTCTGTGCCTGGGCAGGACTCCACTGACTTCACTGGGGCTCAGTGCAAGTGCAAAGATCCAACTGCAGTATCAGGGCCAAAATGTATACATCAGTTCTCTGTGGAAATGCTTATAGAGCAAATATGCAACTTGGGTACCAGTACTGATACTGTAAAGTATGCACAATGTAATTTACAGATCTGCTACAGATTTACTATCCTAAATAAAAATTAGGCATGATTTACCTGATACCTGGGATTGAAGCCCATATATTGATGGCACTGTTCACAGTGGTGGTATGTATTGTATGCTGCATACTTAGATAATCTCATTCGAGTTGTCTGACGGCGCATATACATGTCCTCCTGTTTTCTGCCCATTGATCTGTCTGTAAATAAAAAAAATTGGACTGTATTCATTTTAAGTATATTCTAGGGCCCATTATATCCCCCGTGATGAATAAACTGTTTATGTAATCATCACAAGCCTGCATCGATAGTGGGAACACCAAACAAAATAGATATTCAGCCTGAGCTTTGGTTTTATTATGTGTGTATCGAAGGGGAAAGAAAATAACTGTAGATTTAAGTGCTTTGTCATGATGGGTTCAGTGCTCATTTATAATAACGCAGAGGTGCAGGTAAAGCAAAATTATTATTATGATGATTACTATTTGTTGAGTGCTGACTTGTGCTGGGCACAGAACAAACAGAGAGGAAGACACCGTCTCTGCTTTCACAGAGTGCAGTTTAAAATGCTCTCTGCGTTATTATAAATGACCACTGAACCATCATGATAAAGCACTTAAATCTACAGTTATTTTCTCTCCCCTTCAATACACTGGGGGGAGGGGCTAGTAATGGGATATCAAGTGGAAGGACAGTATCGTGGTTAATGCAATGGACTGGTACTTGGGTTCTGTTAGACACTGGGCAAGTCACCTTCAAATGCTCTAGTTTTTAGATGCCCAAACTGTGCTGGGCACCCGCAGCTCCAGCTGAAAATCAGGCCCCATGTGCCTCAAAATAGAGGCAACTAAAATCAAAGGCTATTTTTGCAAATGTTGGTGCTGATCTCTCTGGGCCAAATTTACACAGGTATTTAGACATGTACAGATGCATATAGGTGCCTTGTGAGATGTACAAAAGTAAATCGGAGTCCAGTGCCTAGCCCACTTAGGCACTTTTGTAAATCAAACTTGGTGCCTATCTGCATCTTCAGAAATAAAATTATCTTTGAAAATCTGTCCCAGAGAGGAAGTTGCTATCATGTGATTGATGTCAGAGCCAAATGAGGAGAGTGTCTAGTGACATTGTGATGTGGACTTTCATCTAGTTGGTCCTGAACTGAGACACCAACTCGTTTCACACAGCCCACCAAACAGCCATCAAATGGATCACTACTTCAGTGGACCACATTCAAACTGGTGACCTACAGTTCAATCCTAACTTTAGCCAAGGCAGAACATGGTTTTGGGCCCACTCTCCTAGCAGCTAAACAACCGGGAAAAAAAAGCCAGCCAATCAGGAGTGGAGGGAAAAACTAGCCGAGTGCCACAGCAGTTTGGAACCCCAGAAGTTGGTGCCTGGGTGGCCGCCCGGCTTCCCCACTCCTAGAACCAGCCCTGCACACATGCGGAGTCTTATTGAAACATAATGGGACAACTCAAGCAAGTAAATTTACTCAGATACATACGTGTTTGTAAGATCAGGGCCGTACTAGTGAAAGGCTACATAGCTTCCATGCCACAAAACACTCACATTGCTCATCCTTATGTGTTGTTCCTTATCTGACAAACTTTTAATCCTTTTTCAATTTAACCCTCATGTTAAAACTATAAACAATATAGCTCTGTACATTGTAATTACATATCGACGAAATCCTGGCCCCATTGGAATCCTGGCCACATTGCTATTTGCTTCAATAGGGCCAGGATTCCATCCATACTGTCTATAGTGGGTGCAAGTAAATAAATAAATACATGCATCTCTCTCGGTTATATTTTAAATTCTGACCATCACTGTTCATATTTTGAAGCCTTGTACAAATCAGACTTGCATCTTCATATTTCGGATCATGAACAGTGTAGTCAAAAGGTATCTTCTTAAATGTCTCCAAATCAGGCCACATGTCTCCTGGCTGGTGATAACATTGATCTGATTCTTCTTGGAGTTCTATAATAATAGTAAAAAAAAAAAACCCCAAACATGCAGTTTACAATAAATGGAATGATGTCTACAGTTTTACAGAATGCTTTTTTAAAGAGATGTGTGAAATCAATTGAAAGGTTCAAATGATTGCATAGAAAGATACCCCAACCTAAAGCAAGTCTATGCTATTCATATAGTTTAGGAGGTTATTAATGATTATTATTGTACTATTATTTCTTTTACTATTTTAAGGCAACAACATCTGTGAAGCTGTTTTCTGCAGAAAAACTAGTGATCATCTGATCAATTACTCAACATTCCTCACCCCTCAATGCAATTCTGCCATAACAGAGTAAAAGCACCAGTCAGAAGCCATCTGGAATCATATATGCACTGATAATAAAAGCACCACAGCAAGGATTTTGCTGGTAAAATGGACCAGCCAGCAGGAGTCTCTCCACTGACTTGGATACACTTTGGAGATAGAGTTTTCAGTTAAGGGAATTTGGTTTGTTCTTTTCCCCACTAGTAAGGAGTCCAAGGTGTTTGGGGGCAGACCCTAAGCTGTTGCAGTGTCATAGTTCCACAGAAGTGACTGGAGCTCTAATCATTTACACCAGCTGAGGATCTGCTGCTTGGAAACTAGAAGTAAATAGGAAACTCAAGCAGAGCTACTCACACAGGATAAAATTCCTCCCCATGCAGAGGGCCAGCCAGCATACAACGTATGATCCTCTTAGATTCTCCGTAAGCACTCAAAACAAGAATTTAAATGAGACTTACATGAGGCAAAAGCTTTGTACTGCTTCTCTGCACAGGGGAGAATTTTACCCCCAATAGTAAAAAAACCCATCAAATAAATCACTGTAGTGATTGATCAAAGTAAATAGCAGAGCCTCGGAGACGTCTAGAATTACATCTGGAGAAAGAGGGGAATGAGGGATATGCTGAAAATACTGAGAATAGGATCAACTACTGGAAAGCAGGAATGTGTGTATGGTCTTTTCTCATTCATATGATCTCTTGTTTACCTAAATTGTATAATACAGTGACAGTATTGCTAATGGTTATAAATCTGTCAATGTTTCCAACTAACCCCCTTTTTTGCATTTGACCAAAAAATAATCATTCCAGGCTTAAAGTCAGTATATTGTTTCTCGGCATGAGATGAACTATTTTTAACATACAAAATGCTGCTGCCAACTTTCTAAGAAAAACAGAGATGTGCTGAGAGGAGGAGTGAGCTCTAAATGGAGAGAAATTAGCTAATCACAGGATTCCAAATTAGAAATTAAAATCCTTAACTCCTTAATTTAAGAACTCTAAATGGATTGCAGTAATGTAAATGAACTACAGTGTAAAGGTGAAAAGCACATGATAAAGTAGTCAACAACTGGTCCAATTAACAATGTGACAAAAAATCCCCAGAAGCGAATGTCTCTTCATCAACAACTTACTAATATTGATTTCTTCCTCATCATAAACATCCACTTCCGTCAGTCTAATCAGCATTCTGGACAAGATACTGAGGAACTGAAGATAGGCTCCCGTTTTTCCTATCTGTAACAAACATATAAATCAGAAACTAAACAGTTGTTTATCATGAATGCCATTCTGTCATTATTTGGAAACTTGGAATTGTAATGACTATTGTAATCTAATTTAAAAGTAGGTTAAAGTCCAACTCTTAAATTCTGTTGCATATACATTCCTATTCCTGTACATTCACAAGTTTATATGGGATGATTAATGACTCATCTTACACAGTAATGCGACTTTTATGCAGGAAATTAACATTCAAAATATACCTTATATGATACCCTTGGGATATAGGCATACAAATAAAAAAAACTCACCACAAGCAACTTCTCTCCCCTGAACTATACTCCCTACAATGGGCAGGAAAACACATTTTTAATAATCCAGACAAGTACATTACATGAAAATCTGCCAGGGAAAAGCACAATATAACTAAAGCTTTACCTCAACCCTTCCAAGCCTGTGCATTCATTGATTGACATATTGAGGCAACTTTCTATACTGAAGAATGAGTTGAAACAGGTCCATAGGACGGAGAGCAGCATACCCACATAGTTTCTCTTTTCAGTCAGATATGATATGCAAAAATTTTATTTCCCCACAAAGCTTATGTGATCCATTTTTTAAATTACATCAAACATCTAATGCTTTTCTTTTTTTAACCCAAACCAGAGAAGATACAGTCCTTCTCTCCACTATGCAGACATGCATTGCTGTGCTTTTGTACAATTTACTTTTGCACCTGATTTTACAAAGGGATGGGCCAATTACTCTCAGGCAGCAGATAGTTTAACCCAGGGGTAGGCAACCTATGGCACGCGTGCCAAAGGCGGCACACAAGCTGATTTTCAGTGGCACTCAAACTGCCCGGGTCCTGGCCACTGGTCCGGGGGGGCTCTGAATTTTAATTTAATTTTAAATGAACCTTCTTAAACATTTTAAAAACCTTATTTACTTTACATACAACAATAGTTTAGTTATATATTATAGACTTATAGAAAGAGACCTAAAAATGTTAAAATGTACTACTGGCACGCGAAACCTTAAATTAGAGTGAATAAATGAAGGTTGCCGACCCCTGGTTTAACCAATGAATTGTCCTATCATCTTGCGTGTGAACTTTACTGGACACAATGTTAAATAAATAAATAAATAAATGAGCAAGCACCTAAACACAGCACTTGACAAACACTGGGCCCTTGACGTTAATGTGGCTCAGGAAGAAATGTCCATCTTGCAGGGATAAGAGCAGCTTTCATAAATCCTATTTGCACTTTGCCTTCTTTCTGTGTAATTCAACATTAAAAATTACACTGAAGACAACTTGATAATCATAAACAAGAGTTGCCTCTTCAGTGCTCGGGCTTACAAATTAATTATAATCCTGATCCTGCTTCTATTGAAACTGTACAGTTTATTTCAATGGGAGAGCATGAGGCCTGATAATAAACTGACAGTAGTGCGGATCCTGCTTTCCTGATGTACCCCAAGAATCCAGTTGCCATGAAATAACTATACTGGAGATTTGAGGAACGTAAGAAATGTAGGGTTGAGTCTAATGAGAGTTGCATTATTTTAAACAGTTATGGAATAAATGTTCATTTCACTTTACATTTAAAAGGAGGCGGCTTTGAAGCTAAAACAAGTCAAAAATAACATTTGTTCTCTTTAAAAATGACAAACAGCAAACTGGAACCTGCACTTCCTACTAAATCAGATTTCTCTCAGAACAGTTGTTAACCTTGGAACTGATCCAAAGCCCATTGATTTCAATGGGAATTTTTTTATTGACTTCAGTGGGTTTTAGATCAGGACCCTAGAGCTGAAAATAATAGCTATATTATAGTGACTCCCTGGGTCCATTTATTTGTGAATCAACTAAACAAAAATTTCATATCTTGGAAATGATCCCTCATCTAATATTTCATGCAAATGTGTAATTGATTGTGTTTAGTTCCAGGAGAGTATAGTACCTACATCGTCTCTCAGATCTGGGATTACTTCTATGTATCTTTATCAGAGCTTTCATTTCATCTGAAGTGACACTTGGATTTTCATTAAGATCATCAGTATTCTGTCAAAATTGGGTGAATTTGACAGATTCTCAGTTTGAGAATAATTTTATTGTTTGACAGTAATAAGGTGACTCTGTAGCTCAAACATATGCCCCTCATAGCTGAAATAGGCAGGATATCATTACCAAGTTCATTTTGATTGAACACAACTCCCTTAATAGGACAACAGCTTTCCATTCATTCAGTCAACTGTCAGCTCCAGAAAGCAAAATTTTAGAGCTAATGGATTTGCAACATGACCTTCTCAGTAAATGGAGCTGCCCGCAACACTTGTTGCTGATAACATTAGTTTTTACATCTAGCCTCCCTATCAATCTAAGTAAATAAGATACCAAATGGGGTAACTTTGCCTAAAAGAAAGCAGAGGTATTTTATGACTATCAATAACCTCCAAAATGTGGCAGTGCCCAGTGCCTTCTTAGATGAGATGTTTTGAGTTCCATACAATCTTTTATCCACCTTGATGTAGAACACTTACTCTGTTTCTTTTTCTGTCTACACAAAGTAGAAAGAGTGCAGTCTGATGCAGACAGAACAGACAAGGCCTTGGAAGAAAAAGGCTCAAGAAGGGAAGGAGCAAAACTCTCAAGCTTTTAGATCATTTATGAAAACTGAGATGTGTGGCACCAGCAACCATTCACTAGTCTGATTTCTGCTTGACATTTGCCATGATTTGGGACATGAAAAACTGGGGATACATTTACATTCCAACCTTTTAATCAGAATGCCATGTGACAGTATTTACTACTTATGATGACAACATTTAGGAATGAATCTGAGTTGAGGTTTTCCTTGCAAGATGCTCAATGGTGGGAAGGCCCAATTTTTGTGTACTAAAGAGACACGTATAAAGTACAATACCTGCTTAAGGGGAAAGGCAGTCCTGAGATCTTAGCCAGGATATTATTCTTTCCATGGATATCTATGGTAAACTGAAAGCAGGTGGTCCTTCTGTCCAGCAATCAGAGGGTGAGATTCCAGTCAGCAAAATGGTTTAAGTGCTACCATTTTGATTTGTAGAAGAGACATTCAAAGTGCTGTTATAACATGTACCATAATGGGTTCCCCTTTTTCCACTGGTTTCAGACACTGCACAGCAGGATGATTGACAGGAATGGCTCTCAGATACAAACTCCTGTGGTACAAGCCATCTGATTGACCACTTTCTTATCATCTCTACTACTAAGAATGTGCTTCCAAATCTTCACATTTAAAAAAATATGGCAAATGGAAAAACACTGCTATAATTTTTTCTAATCCAGTTTCCAGGTGAGAGAGTTCTGAACAGACCACAGCAGTGGTTCTCAAATTGTGGTCTGTGAAACACTTGTGGTTCACAGAAAACATGCTGATGGTCCACAGATGGTGCTGGTTCTTCTTTTTTCCACCTGCTACATTGCACTAAAAGACAGCTAACAATAGATACATTAAATACTTACCTAATATTATTTTTGCACGTGAGCAACTAGCTCTAGAAATCTGAGATGTTATCTGTGAGTGGCAGGGCAGGTGGTGTAAGCAGTCATGGATGGAAGGTTGCCCTGAAGACAATCTTTCTTTTAGGCTGTGGTTCACACAACAAACACGTTTGAGAACCCTGTATCACAGAGTCGTTCACAGGACTTAGACTGCTTTCACACTTATAGAAAGTGCTGTTTTCAGGGTACAAAAACACAACAAAGAAACCCAGCAATAGCACCAAACCTCTTGCATGTAATTTGGGAACATAAAAGAAACTTTTATTTCTTCAAAAAAAACAACACTCCAAATTTCAGTGAATTTGGTGGTCATGGATGGTATTATATTTGAGCACCCTGGATGATGAATTTATATCCACAGACCTGGTAAACTTTTTCACAGTAGTGCATATTTATCCATACTGCCCAACCAGTGTCTTAATATTTTTCTAGAGAGATCACCCCAGGGATGAAGCAGCAATACCATCTCCATGCCTTTTCACTCTTTGCCCTCTGCTAAGACTCCCAACAAGAAAGATAATTGTTTCAGTAGGTTTCTTAATAATGTGGACACCTGTCTACTGAAAAATGGACTGAGTCTACCAACTCCTTTCACGTGAAAGGAACTCTTGACAATGGACATGAAGATAAAAAAATTTCTAGGGCAAGTTGACTTCTTTCCCTCATTAATTTCCAAAACCATTCCCAGGGGATCTGAAAGGCAGTCAGAGTAGATCATTTCCAATTTACACAAAGCTTTTATGCTATGAACCTACAAATAAATCTTGAGACAATCCAACCCAGATTGTTATCCAAGAATGCATTCAAGTGTAATCAAAAGACTATAAATAGCTTGTTGAAAACGCTTTGGGGCAAAGATAAAATTGAATAAAGACAATCTAGACGTGCAGGTCACCAACCATAGACCTTGGGAAGAATCCATACTAAGGTAGGACTGTGGGATGCCATAGAAGCATGCAGCCTTCAGGACCACATGCCAGAGGGTCTTCTTACCTCAGAGCTAAAAACAATGGTGCAAAAGGATGTATTAATGAAACAAAACTTGAGTGTATTTCTTTGAGTGCCATAGGCTGAGAATCTAAGGTGGGCGATGGGTGGGAAACAAGACTTCTTAGAAACCGGAAGGAAGTACCAGGAATAGTACTCTGGAGACAAGTTAAAGTAATGGTCCAGTGGCTCCACAGAATGGGGTGAGTGTTCCAGATTTAGTAGGTTTGGAACTTGAAGCATCTTCTCTCCTTCCTTTTATCCTTAGATTTGTCTTTCTGGATATAAGGCAGAAACTGTAAGAAATGCAGAGGCACCCTGCATTCACTAAGGATTTGGGCTCACCAGATAGGGTGAGAGAATTTCTCCCCATATTTCATTCAAAAGAAGCAAAATAAAAGGCTGCTGAGAAAAATAAGTATTGGGGTTAGCTAATGGCAAGTCTGTTTTGCCCCTTTTATTCCTGTGTATGTATTCAGTCCACTGGTTGATGTCTTTACATGCAGTTTTTATCATTAGTTTATTATTGGTATTGTGGTATTACCCGAAGGCCTCAGTGGAGATCAAAGCCCCATGGTGCTAGGGGCTATACATATCTTGACTGGAAGGTAGCCAGATAGAAAACATGTTAGCCAGCCTTGGAGGTGTTATGTATATGAGGGGAAGGAGGAGAATTCCTGAATGCTAAACATTTCGGCAGTGATACTTATAGTTTTGGTTCACTAAAGTGCTTGATTTTTCTTAAATTGACTTCTTATGTTGTATGGTACGATAACAACAACAACTTTCTAGTCCCTGAAAGGATTGTGTCCACCAATTCAGAGATCTTTCTCCAGCTTAATATTCTGGCTGAATTGTTATTTATACACTTAGAATGGCATTTCTAATAGCTGATCTCTATCAGCTATTATGAACTCTGGCTTTCTGTGGTTTTAGTCATTAGTTTAGTGGTTAATGTTACAAAAACTGGAAATCTAAATCTTTGCCTTAGTTTGGATTTGTCTTTAAAAAGCTCAGACAAGATATTATCGTGTCAAAATCTTCTGCTGAGTCCTCTTAATGCAGTAGGTAGCATAACTCCACATATAGTGCAATGGTTATGAAACAAGCCCATGAGCAGAACACACTTCTGGAAAGAAAACTGTTTATTTCCAAAGTGAGACAGGAGCTCACATTTGCTATATGTTTTCTTTCACCTTTCCACTAGAATAGACGCGATACTACCATACATTAAGCCAAAAGCAACCAACATACTTTCTTAACTGTTTTGGAGGTTTTTAGAATATATTCTCTTTAGTATGTTTGGGATTTAGACATTAAATGGAGCTAAGCAGCCATGTTCCCCAATATACCCCTAAAAATGAAACATTTAATAAAATGAAACATTTAATTCCTGATTTCCTCCATAAAACATTCAGTATGAAACAGGTGTGTAATCAGGAAGAACTGGTGAGTATGCAATAAATAAATGCATGGAGAATATTTTTAGGACCTGATCCAACTCTCATTAAAGTCAATGGGAAATTGTAGGTCAGAACCTTTGTTCTGGAGACAGTCAGAGAAGAGATGGAGTTGTAGAACAGACAATGTTCTTCTGAGGTGAAATTCACCTCTGTGCAGAGGGCCAACCTTAGTCCTATGTACCACTTAATCCCTCAAAATCAGGCTTGCACTCATGCCCCATGATGCAGACAAATGAATAAATAAGCAGACTATATTTTCTGCATATATTTGGCCAATGACACATACCATATATGTGTTAAGGGCCAAGTTCTGTCCTCAGATGAACACAGGACTCCCACTGACTTTGTTGAGAACCATAAGCATACATCTGTGGGCAGAAATCAGTTATCTTATGGCCAAATTAATGGCATAGTAATACAAACTACTACATATGGTTTATTTTGTACCCTTATTGTAGCTTTGGGAACCATAACTTGGAACTTCTTGATTTTTAGGCATGCAAAATTCCAACCAAAATTACATCAATGTATGTTTTTCTTGGATATGGGAACATACTAGCTATCTGTTGCACAGTATATCAGTTTTTACCTTGTCTGTGTTTACCACATATTCATCTCTTTTGAACACTTATTATCTTAATTCACAGCAAACATTGAGAGTTTTGATCATGGAGATGGAGAGCAGTGAAGAGATGTTCTTCAGTGATCCATCTGGTACCCTCTATACATTTATAGCAGCACTTGCAAGTGCCTACGTACTTCAAATACATAGAGTCAATTCATACTCTTACTTACCCCAGTGTGACACCATCTATTTCAATGAATTGCACCTATTAAACTGGGAGCAGAATGTGGTCTTTTCAGTACTGAGACCTCTGCAATACACAGGTACAGAAGAGTGAGTGGCAGATTGAACTTTGGCTTTCTGTGGTTTTAGTCAGTGGGTGAATGTTACAAAAACTGGACATCTAAGTCTTTGCCTTAGTTTGGATTTATTTCTAATTTCTGAGGGCTCTAAGCAATATTCTCTCTGTGGCTATGGTGTTTCCCCCATGCCTGGCATGTTGCATAAAACTTCAGTGGAACATTAGAACTTTTAGTATATAGTATATGCATTGAATTGTAGAGACACTATGCTCATAGCTGCATGCTAAATATTCTTAGGGCACTTAAGAGGGAAAAAGCTCCCTGAAGTCTTTACCTACTTCCAAGTGTCCTTACAAAGTCACTTGAAAACTCTTGGGCCAGAAGTTCTGCTGTCTTTGTTGAAGTGGATCAGTCCCTCTTGTATTTGCAACAACTTCTATTTCTCTCCAAACCATGAAGAAAATGGCTGACTGCCAATTTCACACCCTAATCAGCTTGACCATAAGAAACTGATCCTGGGTGGCTATTCAAACTTTATTTAAAATTTAACTCCTATTAGTCTGTAACAAGCTGCAAGGGACAGCACGGTGTGTAAAATGTATTTTCAAAGAAAAAAAGAGCATCGTTTCCTTAAAACACAACACTAATTGTATAAAGATTGACAACAAAAAAAAGATATCACTACAACTTAATTGTCCTTGCCTCAAGTTAACAGTGAAGAGAGGAAGATTATTTAACTAAGGTGGATACAGTAATAAAAACATATAAGCAAGGTTATTTTTCGCCAGTGAAAAAAATCAGTTAGCTATGAATAATAATCTCATTAATCTAGCACTTAATGAGATGAAGACAAAATTAATCAAAATAAAACAATGATAAAAATACCCTCTTCTTATTACACACCTGAGGTGGCCCACTCAGCAGCAGCCTCCTTGGGTGAAAGGTGTCCATTCTGCCCTCATTTCTATTATTGTAGTCCATATGGATTGGTTTGGGAACTGTCCACTGGCGATAGTATAGAGACTGCTCCGTGCAGGTCATCATTTTACTCATGACAGGGCGGAAAGAACTTGCCCACATCACAGAATGATAAGGCAAGAGGGAAGATGACTTGGGAAGTCCGCTGCTGTCAGTAGAAGTAATAATGTCATACACCAGCTTAGGCAGGAAAACAATGGGGGGCTGTTTCGATGCTTTAGTCATGGAGCACTGAGACGTCTGCAGGATGAAGGAGTTGTGAGTAGGTGCAGAAGAAGAGGAAGAAGAGGAGAAAGGTGATGACGATGAGTTGATGGAAATTTGGGCACTTTTTATGTTCTGTTTTGAATCCAGCTGTTCAGCTGCAGCTGGCAAGTGCTTGCTGATCACCGTTTGCGCCCCCTTTTCTACTTTCTGCCTTTGCCTTTCGCAGTTGTTTGCGTTCTCTTCAGTAGTGCTGCTTAGGACTTGGTGGGGTGATTTTGCTATGTCCCCTGGTGTTGCTAAAGGAGGAGACGATTCAATGCAGAATGCTACACCTAAAAGCAAAATCTGTATTTCAACATGGGGTAATGTGATTCTTCAGCAACTACATTGAACCACAACATTTCTATTACACTTTTCATTGTCAAACCACAGTAAACAATATATAATGCAGACATCAAAAGCTGTGAGTCCAGACCTGCTCCTGTTGGGCCAAACTGTGTTCACCTAACTCACACAGGTAGTCTTATTGATACTAACGGGAGTATTTGTATAAGTATTTGGGAGTATAAGCCCATGCAAATTTGGAATACTAAAATATATGGCAAAGCTCCCATTGATTTCAGCACTGAGCCTTATGTTTGATAAATTTTCCATTTCTTCGAGAAATGTAAAAAAATATAACTTTAAAAAATGTAATAGTCACAGGTTATTTTCCCTCCAACTATAACAGTTTTAACATAGGCATGATTTTGATCCTAAATGTTCTACCGGAATCCCATTAACATGACACTTATCAGCCTCCTGGAAGGTAAGGGCCTGATCCTGAGAGTTGCTGAGCATCCCCAACTCTCAAAGATTTCAAAAACGAGATGCAAATGATCAGCAGTTCTCAGATTAGCTTTTCAAAATAGTCCATTTGCCGAGGCACTGATCTCCATAGCACTTATTGGAGTCTCCCCGCAAGCAATAAAAAAGAAAAGAAAAAAGTGATTGTCAGCACTGATATAAACAAACACAATCTCATAAAGTCAAGTAGACTTCAACCATCTAATCAGGGCATGCACCAATTTCCAAGAAAACAGCTATACAATTCACACTCCAAAACCAGAGTTCCCATAAACCCATTGCCTAGATGCCCATGACATCATGCAGGAACTCCACAGATTATGCCTACCAAAGATAGACACAATCTCCATGAGACATGGATCAACGAAGTTGGGGAGTGTTCACACTAAAATTCACATATCATGCTCCCTTACACCAGACACTACTCCACAAAACCCTCTGTCATGACTAGCTATGGGGGACCTTTTAAGTGTGAACTCCATAGTTTCTGGGAGATCCAAAAGTGATGTACAATAGTTACGTGCTGTGGTTCCTTTCTTGACTTTCTATTTTTCCACAAACATATATGAGGGATGCCCACTTGCTTTGTCCCCATGAAACAGGAAGAGACATCCCAATTGCATACTCCAAAGCAGCCAATAGCAGAATAAAAACAATGGTAAAAATGTCACCAACAATGTGAATACATTTTGGACTTAGTACTACTGTGACAACATGCCAAAGACCTGTATCCATGTGCAAGAACTGACCAAAGAGATTTTCTTTAACAAACAGATTCAGGCCAACAAAGCCAAAAGTGGCATCCTAGGGCAGTGGAGAAGAGATCAGCAGCCTGACTTTGAAGAACAGTATACATTTCAAAAATTAAAAAATTTGGTGCTTTTCCATTTGTAATGGCAACTGTGCCTTATGGCAAAATAATTCACAGTCAGAATACTCATATAGCTGTGGTGAGAACAATAATTATTTGGAAATAACTTGAAACATTTAATTTTACAGCTAATGCAACATAACATGTTTTGTGACGTTACATGAAATTGTAATCTTCCACATAAATATTTATGTATTTTTACTGAAGTATGATATAATGCATATTGCACATTTGTTCTGATCCATTAGTCTCCACCCATAAAAAAAACATACAAATTTAAATTTTTTAGTACCTCCTGACATTGCTTCAAACTTTTACTCCTGGGGGAATTCTGCACCACTGCACACATGCCAAATTCACACCCCCCCCCCCACAGCTTTTTTTCTCTCCACAGAATACTGTAAACCATTCTGCCAGGGAGCCACTGCAATTACACCTTTTGCCCATCAGGGGCTGTTGTGGCATCAAAACAGAGGGCAGACAGCTCCTGAGCCAGAGCAGCCAGCCACAGAGCCGTTGAGAGCAGAGGCTGCTTTTCTCACAGCGATATACCTGGGGTTCAGAACAGCTATTGGGAGGGACAGATTAGGGTAGAGGCACAGGAGCTAGTGGGATGACAGCATTGAGCCAGAGACTGAATGGGAGTGGGCTGCCGCTGTAGGGACACATGGGGACTGGGGGAAGAAGGGTGCAGGGAAAGGCAGGGACAGGGCAGAGGTGCCCGAATGAATAGGAAAGGCTAGGGGTCAGCCCGGGTCTGCATGGAAGAGGCTCCCCAACAACCCCTTGTCCCCCTCCTTCTTCTCCCTCCCCCCTGCAAAAAACCCTGTTCCATACTTCTCCCACCCACACCTAACAACACTCCAGGTTCACTCCCAGACTGCCAGAAATTAATTCCCCCTCCCTCAGCTCCTCCATTACCCCTGACTCCCCCAAGCCTTTGCACTGCTTCTGAGGGGTGTAGGAAATACATTTCTGTACAGTAGTTTAAATTAATTATTACTCAAAGTTCTGTATTAATATGCCTAGTAAGGAATCTATTTGTCAAAAAAACATTTCTTGAATCTTTTTTGTTGTCTGTATTGTTACAGACACACTTGCTGACAGGTATTTTGAAATAAATTACCAAAATAATTGAAATTGACATGATTATTTTGACAAATAAAATATGCAGAATTTTAAAATATTGTGTGCAGAATTTTAAATATTTTTGGTGCAAATTTTTTATTTTTTTGGTGCAGAATTCCCCAGAAGCAAAACTTTAATGGTCTGTTCTTAAACCAGTTTTCAGATTGAGAAGAAAAACTATATATTCAATGTATAGGGCAAAGTATTGACAAAATATACTCATTTCTAAAAGGAACACTCTACACTGAAAAATTTGTGAGCACACATTCTAGTGCCCAAAAAAAGTTCATGAACATTTTTTCAGGCAAAATTTAGGACAGTCCTTTGAACATACAGAGGCAGGTCCTTAGCTAGTGTGAGTTGTCATGAGTCCACTGGTTTCAAATGGAGCTCTGACAATTTCCACCAGCTGAGGATCTGCATCTTGGTACCTGTCATAAAAATATTAAAGAACATTTCTGTTGCTACGATACTGCTGTATAATACAGTGACCCCGCTCGCAGGTCGGTACAATGGTCTATGCATTCATGGACCAAGCATGAGGCAATCTTGTTATTTTTTTATCTCAGAAGTAAGACTCTTGAAAGCTCCGATTTTTTAAAAATTTAATTGTTAGCAAGTTCATTAAAACAGGTTTTGCCAAAAAACTAAGGATTTGTGTCTTTTATTCTTCATTTGCCAGGCTAAATGAATTGCCACTTTTACATCCTAAATACCACTTGAGAAAGATTATCATAAAGTCTTACTTGAAGCTTTTGAAGACAGAGATGAAGATGCAGAGTCATGGGAGCGTGATCTCTCTCTTTTGACAGGACTTCTCTTTTCTGAAGTGGAGCCTGTTTCATGAGAAGAGGGAGGATGGAGGAGAATTACAATTCTAAAGACCAATTCTCTGCTATGGCCAAAGTGCATAAAGTGAAGGGATGCTGGGCAAAAGTGGCTTAAAGCTCATCTAGGTGCCCTGATTCAGGTGCTGTTCTGAGTGTGGCCATTCTTCCTAGGCTATGGTGGAGCAGCCTAAGGGCTGTTCTAACTTTGGCTGAGCTACAACAGCCTCTAAGAGCCAAAAATGCAATGAAGAGCTGGCATAGTGCAGAGGTATCTCGGCCGCATTCCCTCTTTGCTAGTCATGCCTCCTCTTCTTTGCTATCCCAGCAGCATGGAGGATGAGTGACACAGTAGACCCTATGTTGATACTACCAGGTGCCCACCCTTAAAATGGGATTTTAAACCAACTTCACAACCAGACTGTACCTTTCTCTTTGATAACAATATAATTTCATCCCCCTCTCAAAATACATCTTTCTGTTAATTTTCGCCCCTATTCTGCCTCCCTTATTTGTGCTGAATAACACTTTATTCAGTTGAGCAGTCCCTTTAATGTGACCTTGAGCAATCACTTATCCTCTCTGTGCTTCAGTTCCCCCATCTGTAAAATGGGTAAAAAAATGACTTTTCAAGGGTTCTAAGGTTCAACTAATTAATGATAATAAAATTCTTTGCATTCCTCAGTTGTAAGACACAATATATAGGAGGTACAAATAACATTATTTGATAAGTTTAATTCCAAAAGTGCATAAACCATCACTGTAAATTCAAATAATGTCTCCCAATCTTTTGCAGCTCCCCATGCTACTGATTGCTGTATACTTATGTATTTACTGTTCCCTTCCTTTTGACAGTTTGCTTTGCACTCTTAAAGGCTAATGTCCATCTCACTTAGCTGAAATTTATGGTATTAGTATTTAATACACAATTGCTGTTTGAGTACCTTTTAAGAGCACTGGCACTACACAGGTTCATTTACCTTCTGTTACTATTTCTTCATCTTCATTATCAGTACTGCTCAGTTTCTCCGGGTCACTCTCCAACACATCATTCACGACCACCTTCTCCATGTGGATTTCTGAGCTAACAAAATATGCTGCCAAGCCAAGCTCTTGCTCCAAGGCTGTCCTTACTAAGCAAGAGGAATTTATTAAACGTAGGTCACAATATCTCAATGATCTGGAAAGAAACCAAAAGATACTATGAAAACTCACGGTATTCCACACCTTTGATTGTGTTTGCAAAAGAAATAACGAGGAATTTTGTCATTGCCTACTTAACTGATGTGTGAGATAGTGACCCATTGATATCACTTTGTTCTGTCTTTCAGTAAATTCACCACTATATTGTGTCATTATTACTTTAAGCAGTATAATCTAACGCATTAGGCATAAATTTAGGAGACAGATTCTTCAGAGTTCTAATCCTGGCTCTGACACTTACTTTCTCTCTACTCTAGGGATGTCACTTAACCTCTTTGGACTAATTCATAAGCAGGCGCAACACTGATGTTGATGGGAACTGCACCTGCCTACACCAAGGGTTAGTGGGATCTTTTTGTGTCTTGGTTTCCTCATCTATAAAACAGGAATAATTGGGAATGTTATGAAAATGAAAAACTGCACCCCACAGCTCAGCCTCACAACCATTACCACCAACCTACTACACCACAAATGTTCCACTTTTTTGATATAGAAACTACCAAAAATCATCCTGTCACTCAAATTTCACCAGCCTTTGCACCCACAAAGGATTATGGGTCACAGCAGGTCGCAGAATGATTTTTCAGCCATTTGAAGGGCGCAGAGAAAAAGGAAGTTGTGAGCCATTGAGAATGAACAAATGTCATGGAAATATTTGTCAGTATTTCCTTCCTACCTTGGCAAGGCTTCCCCTTGGGGGTCCATTCCACTAAATATTAATATGCAAGGCAGACCTTCTAATTCCAAATAGGTCTGTGGCCTCCACTCCGCATCTTCAATTTTCTGCCATATCTGTCATAGAATATAAAAACATTGGTGGGCATATTTACATGGCATAATTAAGAATGAAGAAACAAATGATTTATTGTCTATTGTATGGACCTAATTCTGCAGATGTTCCACAAGAGAAATCATTGCAGGATCAGGCCCTAAACTGAAAGGTCCTGAGTTGCAAAATGGTCTTATCTTCTTTCAGAAGTTTTATATCAATAATAAACTGCCCCATAATATGACTATATATCAGAACTCTAATGAATTGTTACCATAAGTGGCTAAATATAGATCCAAATGCTCCTCCAGGAAACATGAGAAACCATTGTGAAGATGTATAGCTTGATCTTCAAAGACAGAAAGCAGAGTTACTCACTATAAAGGTTTTCCTTTGTTGGTCCAGTCTTCTGACCACAGCTGTCAGTTACCCTTTGATAATCAGGCCCATTGGATGATACCTTTATTCACACTGATTAGTACCTAGTCAATGAGATTTCTTGATGAGTAAGGTACTACTCAGTGGGAGCAAGGGTATCACTATCTGGTCCTTATTTATTCATTAAGCACCAACAGTATATGCAGTGTTGCACAAGACACTTAAGACAACATGGCATGCGATTCTGAATTCACTTATATCAGCTTTAAAGCATAGAGTTATTCCTGATTTATATCAGAATGAGTTCAAAATCAGGCCCTTGTCTTCAGCTCTGTTGAGCTAAGTAGATAAACAACATGAATCAGACTCAGAATGTAAGAACAGTCCTAGCTTAGAAAATACAAATATTTTTGTTTTAATATGTGGTGACAGCATTTGTACTAAGTGGGGTAGTGTCTGTGGACTTCGACATGTGTGACGCTTGAGGTCAAACTATGTGATCATAGTTGTCCTTTCTAGCCTCGAAATCTATGAATCTATTATTTCCAGCATTTTCATATTCAAAATCACATAAGGTCCAGAAAACATTAGGCACCATGCTTAGAAAATCTGGGCCATTCAGAGACCAATGGGTAAGTGTACTGATTCAAAGCCTTTACGCCTGGTAGACTGTGCAATACAATTCCAAACTGGTCACTGAGGTTTGCTCACAAGGGGAAACCACCTCTCTGCTCTGGTAAAGGTTTTTCCAAACCAAAAGTAGCTTTCATTTTCACTTGGTCTTTTACCACCATGTTGATTCATTGATGCCACAGTCCAGTGCAATGAAGCTGATTGGGGCTAAAGCTGTTGGTGGTTGGGAATTCTAATCACGTTTGTAAAGGCCCTCCTGAGCAGCCATCAGAAGCTGGCTATAGGAATGACAGATGGATGTGTCTGATAGAGAGGAGTCAGGCTCTTCAGGGAATTTTAATTTTGCTGGGAAGTAGCCATCTCCATCACTAACATCCAAATCTCATGCCAATAAAACCTTTATATCACCACCCACTCACTGAAAGCACTGCTCCTCAGAGATTCTTTTCAGGCAATGTCATTCTGCAAGTTACCTTTAGTTGCTCCACAAAGTGCTTCCCTATGGTGATTCCAGAATTAGGATTTCCCAAGATGATTTCAAAATTATCTGCAAGGGATAGTCTTTCCCTTACGTGATAAAGTCGTTCATACGCCACAGCAGCCAATGGAATGCAAGGAATTCTTAACACCACCATGAAGCCATGACCACTAGGGCATTGCCTTGAAGAGTTTATAAGGTTTTGGGTGATTTCCAGAGTTTCAACTGAGGTGTAATTCTTCATCTGAGACAGGCCACTTACTGCCATCATAGCTGCAGAGTAATGCTGTACAAGGACAAATGTCCTTATCACTGCACTGTGTAATCTGGGAAATCTGAAATAAATTGTGAAGCATTAAAATCCTAGAATTAAAGTGAGAATGCTGCCCTTGTAAAAATTATTAAAACTCAAAATTTAATCCAGGTGAAAAATCATGCCCAATACACAGTAGAACCTCATTGACCTACAGGTAATCTGCAAATCCTGTAATTCCAAGACCATTGGTGCAATCTCTCCACTTCTCAGTATAGATGTAATAGCTAAGTGGGATAGTGAAGTTATATTATCTCCTGTTATTATTATGACTTCATCACATTTGCAAAACATACTACTGGATATTTGCTAGAGTACTATGCAGTAATATTAATCAAAACTAAAATGCACTTGTCATATAAATGAACAAAGTACTCCTCATAGTGCATTATCCTTGCTTTTTACTCGTGAAAGATCTGATTCAACTACTACTAAAATCAATAGAAAGAGCTGGATTTATCCCTAATACAAACAGATTCCCCCAGTCATTAGTACAATTTTGCAAAGTTCTGCTTGCTCAATCTTTTATTACATCCACACCTTAACACCTCCAAGGAGTCCTACTGGAGTTTTGTGCATGCAAAAAATATACCTAAATTACAATTACTATGCATTTGGAGTAACTACGTTTTTAATCTGAATCTCTCCACATGGAGCAAATCAGCTCACTGACATCATTTTTTCAAGCTCTGATGATGTTCTACAGGATTCTCCCTAACTGAGTCTTTCATTGATTTAACTCCATGAGCCAAAGTGAAATCTCACCTGCTCTTTGTGGTCCCACTAAAAAAGTCAAAAAGTATTGGCTGGGGGTTAGTTAATTTCTAACATTTCACTTTGAACACAAGATTTGTTTGTAATATTATTTCTGTGGTGCCTATAGGCACCAACCAAGACCAGGGGCTCACTGTGCTAGAAGGCGTGCACGTAGCAAGAGAGTGCTCCTGCCCTGAATAGCTTCCAATCTAAATAAAGACAACTGAGAAAGGTTAGGAGCAGAAAAGGAGACAAAGAGAGGTAACGTGATTTGCCCTAGGTCGGTGGCAAAACCAGGAATAGAAAGAACCCAGGTCTCCTGACTTGCAGCCCAGTATCCCACCCACTAGACCACGCTACCTCTCAAATTTCATAATGCTTTAAACCAAAGAATGTACTGTACCTTCTTCCTAAAGCCATGACCATAGCTTCAAAAGAGCTGTCATATCGAAGTAACGGAAGGCTGTGTCCAGAAAGGGTGGATTCAATGAATTCTGACAACCCAAAATATTTCTTGTTTTCATGGTATAGATCTATTCCCTAAAGTAAATAAGACAACAGCAATTTAAGGATAAAACTTATTGATGAATTATAAATAATTCATCAATCTACCATCACCCATATATAGACATTCTTTATATCTCGTACACACACACACACACACACACGTATATATAAAATAATCCACATACATATACACACACATTCATACTCACAATAGGTCATTCTCAGAAGGTTTAAACTGGTGTCATTCCAATTACTTCAATGAAGCTTACTTACAATTAACACTAGCTGAGGATCTGGGTAGATTTATATATATTTTTATCTTGTGCACAGTAGAAAGACTACACAGTTTTGAACTACTTGACACATCATCTTTCCACACATCAGAAAATGTATGAGCCAAAAAAATAAAAGTCTGGATAAAAATATTGAAAAAATGTCGGAAAAACAGCTAGGGAACTTTTCTGATAGTAAGTATAATGCGCTCTCACTGGTCCACCTTGCACACATGAACCACATTCTGGTTATTTCCATGTAGAGCATATGAATTAAGCCTAAAATAGAGGTATCAAAAGCATGGATAACCATGGTGAGATGTGTGAGAGGAAATGCAATGATCTCTTGGTAAGGTGAAGATTTAATAAAAACTTTTCAGAGCCTCCTTCTTTCTCAGAATTCAAAAACAATGAAGATTAAAACCTATGATTGCAAACCATTTTGTAAGAAGCAGGCAGATGCCTTCAGTGGAGGGATCAGTCATGGTCTTTGCAGCTTCCTCTGAGCAGTCAGGATCACACACTCCCAATATTATAATTCACTTATTATTGTTAACAAATATTTGCATAAAGTTTATGGATGCTTAATACAGCTGGCAATTACATCAGCTCTGTCCTTAATAGACTGGGGATCAGAGTGACATTGTAGGGCTTCTTTCCACCCAATAAGGTGTTGAAGCTCTCCAGAGAGAAAGGCATGGCCCAGAGACCTGGATTATGACATTAGTGCTCATGGAGAGGGAACAAAATGCTCCTCAGGATCTGATCTACAAATAAACACCTTCATTTCTTTTAGGCATGGGCAAGTGAGGTATGAAAATGTGACATACCTTAGTAGTGTGAGTAGCTCACCAAAAAAAAGGGAGGGGAGAAAATTTGGATCACTACAAAAAGCACAGGCCCCCCCATTCTCAGTAGCTAATGATCCAACGTCACATACATTTACAGATACCAGATGTCCTGAATGGTTTTATTGAAACTGGAGGCTTCAACAAATTTCAGTGGATTCCTAGGACATCTGGTCGCCTCAGGGTCATCTGTCTATCGTAGCTATGCCATGTTGCAATGAAGCATAGCAATGCCACACATGCCAGTTCAGGTGGCTAACCTGTTCCCGCCTGCCAGCCACCTCTCATTGGGAGCAGATAGAAATATGTTTCCCCTAAGAGGAGGAAAGAAAAAGGGGCAGACAGTAGGGGAAGGATATCAAGGGCTCTTCTTTAAGCAGCTCCTGAACCAGTGCTTCTCTTCAGGCTGCTCCTTCCACGAGGCATCAAAAACTGTAGTGGAGGGTAAGGAAACTGGGAGGGTGAGAAACAGTGAGGTGAGGACTAGAAAGGGACAAACAGTCTGGAAGATAAAAGGCATGGGGGATAGACTGAAAAGGGACTGATAGATACTGGGGAAAGGGAGGGGAGAAATGGAAGGAAGGTGAGTGACAGAAGGGGAACAAACAAAAAAGGGGAAGAGATGGAAGAATAAGAGAGACACATCTATAAACTGAATGAGGAAGAGGAGAGATAGGAGTGACGCAGACATCATTATTCATCATTTCACCTACAAGAACATGTGGTCTCCAGTGTTTTTCAGAACATGTAAATGTAAAATAGTTATTGAATGAACCTAAAATCCTGAAAACATCCATCTTACATTGCTGTATGACGAAGGCCAGTGGATTTCATTGTATGGGCTGATGTGAGTATGCTGTGTCTGCAGAGCATAGGGGAAGGAAGTCACATGGAGTGTCAAAATGTTTGGAGCCTCTTTCACCTCTCTGCAGTTCAACAATCTATCAACGAGTCCCACAGATGGTTCCGCTTGAGGATAAAGGCTGTGAACAGCGCTGCAAAAAGAAACCCCAAACTCTCCTAAGTGATTTGTATAAATGTACACTTGTGACAAATTCATGCGTGTCACCATCTCAAACCTGGACACGAAAGCACAGTGAACCACCCATAAGGAATTTGGGACTGGATTCTTTGGCCTTACTCTGCTCTCGTTGCACCACTCCAGTGGCACAAAGGAAGGGGAAAGCAAGCCGCATATCTCCTCAGCTGGGAACTCCCTGGCACGGTGGATTACACCGCAGACTAGGGGCTGTGATAGCAGACTTCCCTCAGCCCCCAGCATACTGCACAAGGAGACTGAGAAGGGGCTGACACCACAGCAATTGCCAACAGCCATGTGGTCCTCTGGGAACTGTAGTCAGGTGCCGTCCTCTTTATAACAGCCCTTAATGTGTTTAAAGACCTTGAAGACCTATCAGGTCCCACCTAGTCTCCTTTTCTCAAGCCTAAACATGTCCAGTTTTTTTAACCTTTCTTCAGAGGCCAGGTTTTCTAAACTTTTAATTATTTTTGTTGCTCTCCTCCAGACTCTCACCAATTTGTCCACATCTTTCTCAAGTGTGGCACTCAAAAATGGACACGGTGCTCCATCTGAGGCCTCACCAGTAGAATAGTTACCTCCTACGTCTTACATACGACACTCCTGTTATATGCCCAAGAGTGGTATTAGCCTTTTTTGCAACTGCGTCACCCTGTTGACTCATATTCAGTTTGTGATCCACTATAACAGGGGTAGGCAATCTATGGCATGCGTGCCAAAGGTGGCACGCGAGTTGATTTTCAGTGGCACTCACACTGCCCGGGTCCTGGCAACCGGTCCGGGGGGCTCTGCATTTTAATTTAATTTTAAATGAAGCTTCTTAAGCATTTTAAAAACCTTATTTGTTTTACATACAACAATAGTTTAGTTATATATTATAGACTTATAGAAAGAGACCTTCTAAAAATGTTAAAATGTATTATTGGCACGCGAAACCTTAAATTAGAGTGAATAAATGAAGACTCGGCACACCACTTCTGAAAGGTTGCCGACCCCTGCACTATAACCTCAGTTCCTTTTCAGCAGTACTACTGTCTACCCGGTTATTCCCAATTTGATTTTTTCTTCTTAAGTGAAGTACTTTGTACTTGCTTTTATTAAATTTCATACTGTTGATTTCAGAGCAGAGCAATTTTCCAATTTGTCAAGATAATTTTGAATTCTAAACCTGTCCTGAAAAGTGCTTGCAACCCCTCCCAGCTTGGTGTCATCTGAAAATTTTGTAAGAATACTGTCCACTCCATTATCCAAGTCATTCATCAAAATATTGACTAGTACTGGACTCAGGACAGACCTCTGGGGAACCCCACTATATATGTCCTCCCAATTTGACAGCAAACCATTGATAACTATTCTTTGAGTATAGTTTTTCAACTAGTTGCACATCAACCTTACAGTAATTTCATCTAGACCCATTTCCCTAGTTTACTAAAAGAATGTCATGTGGGATTGTGTCAAAAGCCTTACTAAAATCAAGATATATCAAGTCTACAGCTTCCCCACATCCACTAAGCCAGTAAACCTGTCAACAAATACATGGAAGGTGTCGATAAAACAGAACAAATGTGACAACCATATAATACCACCAGGAAGACCCTTTAGTGATACATTTGTTCTTGACAAATCCATATTGGCTCTTACTTATGACCCTATTATCCTCTAGGTGTATACAAATTGATTGTTTAATAATTTGCTCCAATATCTTTCCAGGTGTCAAAGTTAGGCTGACTGGTCTATAATTCCCAGGGCCATCTTTGTTCCCCCTTTTAAAGGTAAGTGCTATGTCTTCCTTCCTCTAGTCCTCTGGGATCTCACCCATCCTCCAATAAATTATAATTGGTATATTAAGCTGGTAGAGAAACTGAATTTCACTTTTGTGAAAAATGTCAATGTTTTGGAAAAATGTTCATCCTGAATCAGGACAAACTGTCAAAACCTTGGCATTCCTTACAGAAGTGAAATGCCATCTTTTTTATTTTAGAAACACTGACACATTCCTACAGTGAGAGCGTTTTAGTGTTTCTGAAATGCAATATGTCCTCTGATTCTGAAGTCCCCCGCCAGGCAAGTTGCTGAAGAGCTGGGAGCCCGGGTTTCCCAAGGAGCTGGGGATGTGGGTGGGTGACCTGGCAGAAACCACAGAACATTCTGATTTTGACAAAATTGGCATTTTTCAACGGAAAAAAAACATACCATCAGAAAAAAGTTTCCAACTTGCTCTAGTAATAAACAGCTAGCACATCATACCAACGGCCCAGCCACTGTGGAGTTTTTGCAGGCACTGAAGCAGAGGGGCATTTGAAAGAGAGATGTGAAGGTGGATATTGTGGTGACTTTGCACATATTTACACAGAGCTCCTCCAATACATAAGGGAGAGCCTGAAAGAATGCATGAAGGTACTTGTGGGAAAATGTAACTGATGGACAATGAAGGCTGGCATTGATGGCTCGATAAAGCATAAGAGATCATAGGCAGGGTGCAGATAGATCACCAAGGGCCTTAAAAGGAAGCATTTAATGTTTGATGCATAGAAAGGGGAAGCCAGTGGAGGGATGCATACAAGGCGGTGTCATAGATGAAGCAATGATCCAAGAATACAAACAATAACAACAATAATTAATAATAATCTCTCTAAAAATGGCCTAAGAATGAAGCTGTTCTTACCTCACCAGATCCCAGTGTGCATGATCATGGATAAGTACAAACAGTGTATGTGGATTCTGCATAGAGTTTTGCAAAAAGACTTTAAATTTAGTCTGGGCCTCTGCATCCAGCTTCACAACATATTGTTCCATCCTCTGCTTTGTAAGCTGCTCCTTTTCTAAGCCAAGTTCTAATAAAACACCTAAAGAAATGGAGCAGGGGTTAGATGCAGCTAACAATTTCCTGAACATATATAAAATAAATCTAGCTAATAATGAGCACCTGAATGCCAGAGGTGAAACAGTGTCTGCTGATATGTCACTTCGGAGGGAGGAACACAAATCAGAAAATCAACTTTCTCAAAGGAACCCAAATCAAGATTTTGAGTGCTGGAGTCAGCAATTGAGCAAACATGAGACAGCAATTTCTGAGCCACTGCTAGCTGGAATGGACGAATCTGATGCCGTTCAACATTATAACCTGGAAAGAGGCAAAAATCTGTTCAGCTGAATGACTGAAGCCTAATCTTATACAAACTCTCCCTAAAGTCTGGAAATCTTTAAAGTAGCTTGCTTATTGAGTTAGGACTCTGCTTTCATGAAAGCTAAAGGGGCATCCAAAAAACCTTTGTGAAATTGGATATTTGCATAATTGTGGACCACCATCTTTTAATCCTATGACTCTCAAACTCCTCAGGGCTGAAGCTCAGCTGCTGCACAGTTAAGGTCCAACCTTAAGGTTCAGAGACTAGGAGATCTACAGGAAGGAAGTGGAACTTCCATCCATGCAAACCTGGAGGACCGAAACAAGAGGAGTTTCTATTAACCTGAGTTTGGGACTCTGCAAAGGGATAAGTCTCTGCCCACATGGATCCAACTGCAGGATCAGGGCCTTAGTTTGTCTTGAAGGAGAGACACCTTACTCTGCTACATCTTCAGACACCTTCATTACTTACTTGTGCACACAGCTGCTCCAGTTATATCCAATGCTGTTGGCTTATTCACTGAAGTAGAAAGAGATGAAGACCTCTGGCCTTGATTTTCTTGATAAAACTTGTCCAGCAGAACCTCAATGTCACCATCTACCACATTGAAAGGACAGTGGATATTAGTATCCATGGTACACAATTAAACTCTTCTCTGAATGGCTCTCATAGCATAACAGAACCAAATCAACACCCAGGGCAAAGCAACTACGGGCCAGTTTCTCCTCTCACTTCTACCATTGTAAATCAGGACTAACCTCATTGAAGTCAATGGAATTACACCAATAGAAAATGGATGTAAGAGACAGGAGAACCAGGCCCTATGTTAATGGAACCTAGGTCAATTATATTCCTGTGTCATCCCACAGGAAGGGGATAGGCAGGTCCCAGCCATAGTGTAAGGGATACATTTAAAAATAAAAGAATGTCATTAGATAAGATTCCCTGCAAAGCACAAGACTTAATACAATGTTAAATTAAAAAATCAACAGACAATCCCTAGCTCTTTTAGACAGTGTTTTTCATCTGAAGATATGAATGTGCTTAATAAAGGATGTCAGTATCTTTAAACCCACTTTACAGATGGAGAAACTGAGGCAGGGAGTGGTGAAGTGACTTGCCCAAGGTTATCCAGCAGTAAAGAGGGGAATAGAACCCAGGTCTTAAAATCCCAGTCCAGCGCTTTAGCCATAGCCATAGCTCACCCTTCCTCCCCATTTAGGCAGTGTGGCCAAATGGATAGAGAGCCATAGACGACTAAAAAATGGAATACTCAGAAGCAAAGGAGCACAACAGAAGTAAGGTTGTACACTCAATCTTAACTCTGCCATCTTGAGTTTATGTCTTAAAATATGCTCTCTTTTTATATCATTGTAATTTATTTGTTAAATAAAATATAAAGCAAACCTGAATTGCTTATAAAACCTTACTTTTAGTCACTACAGACTTAGTTTGATTTCTAAATCCCAGTGAGTGATGTTTACAAAACAAGTTCTGCAGCCCATGTAAGCCTGCAATATGGGCTTCTCTAGCTATTCATAAGGCAGAAAACAGACATATTTTACTGAATAGTGCCACTGTATATCATGGAATATGCATCCACATAAGGATCCTCCTTACAACCTGTTCAGTCTTGTTGAAAGATATACAGGACACAGCGTTAGCACTGAGTACTCAGTTTGCTCAGCATTTGTGCAGAGACACATTAGTACACCCGGAGTGAGCTGAGCATGGTCAGGCTCTAGATTCTTAACTGCAGTCTAGTGAGTGAACATGATGTGCCTGGAAGCTATTCTGAGGATTTTCAGTTACTCTTACTGCCCAAGGAAAAGAAGCACCTGAGTGCTTGTGAGAGTCATCGTTAACAGAAAATGGGGGCAGAGGCAGCCACCGACATAGACATGTGTCTAACAGTTCTAAGAAAACAGAATCACTCTCAAATGGCTAGTTGATGGCTTGTGACTAGAGCTAGGTGAAAATTTTTTGGCAAATAGTAAATTTGCTAAAAAAAAAAAAAAAAAAAAAAAAGAATTTTTTGGGCACTTAAAACAATTAACAAATTCAGGTAAAATTTGCAAAATAGTTTGGGAAAAAAAAAAACACAAACTTTTTTTTGAAAAAATCAAAACGGTTCATTCTGACCATTTCAAAACATTTTGAAATTTAGCTATATTTATTTTTTAAAAAGAAAAAGGAGAAAAACCACCAAAAATGAAACAAAAGGAAAAACCCAAACCATTCAATTTTTTTTTCTTATTTCATTTCATTTCGAGTGTTTTTCAATCCAAAATTATATTTTGCTCATTTGTCTATTTTTTGGTTTTTGTTTCAGTGAGAAAACCCAAAATAATTAATTTCAAACCATTTTTTTTGGTTAGGCCCCCAAACCAAAAAATCCCTCATTCACTCAGCTCTGCTCATGACGTACTTTGTGCACACTGTTCTTGCTGGCTCCCCTGCCTGCAGCACCAGCTCCCCTTCATTTACTTCACCTTATTGGATTGCAAGTGGAAAGGAGCCATGATCAGCATCCCTACTGGTGACTCGATACTACTCTCTCTCATTTAGAGGGCTCAGGATTGATGCATGCTGAGATATGGAAGGGGAGTACTCAAATTCTCCTCTTAATCTGAACATGTTCATTAGTATCAACGGAAATTATGTGCATGCATTAAACGCAGTCACCCATCAATGTGCCTGTCCTGCGCAGTCAGAAATAGAACACAACTATACATTCATGCATTTTTATTAAAATATAGGCATTTATAAATTGACACATTCCAGGAGAATTTCTTAAGGAGAGACCAAATGTACTTTCCCAGATCTTCCTTGTCTCGTTTGTACGTATTCTTATTATATACCCCTGTTCCTGAAAAGTGATGAGCTCCTGCAATTGCCACTGACTTACAAGGATCAGGCTCTTAGAACTGTGTCTATTTATGGCATGTTATGTACCTGGACAAAGGGTGCTAAAAAAAGAGCCCAATGTTTCCACTTTCCCAGTAACTAGTTGATAGTTAACTTCTTTCTGATACTCTGCTGGGGTAAGCATGCTCTCAGACAGTACTCGTGCCTGGTACTTCCCTAAAAGACAAAAAAATAAGCTCTTTTTAATTTGAATTTCAATTTTGAATTCAGTTCAAATAAAAATAAAAATTCTCTACTTAATTGATAAAATAACTAGAACAATACCTATCGAAAGGCATATTCCCCCAAAACAAAAGTAACAGAAATCAGCATCTTTCTCTCCCACCTCCCCAAACAAACAGTCTTATGCTCCCCCTCTATTAGTCTTTTGTCTCAGAAAGTATGTTTGCAAAGCAATATATGGAAACGACTGTACAAAAACAGTCTTGGATTTGTCATTCATCCGAGCCATACTGCTTTCAAAATAAACCTTTAGATCTTAGTTCCAATAATTCTTCACAATATTATCAGCATAGCCTAGATAGGATTTCAGCTGTCTTCGGGAGAACACAAAGAAAAACCATTCTTGTGAAACTAAGAACATGCTCAAACCTCTCCTTAATGGAGATATTCCAGTCAAACACAGAAGTAGGACTGTATAACTACATTTTCAATGTGGCTTCGACCCAACTTCAAAATTTGCATGTGCACTGGTGTGCATGCGCAAAACCCTCCTTTGCATCCACCGACAGGCAAAGTTAGCAAGTACCATGGCTAAGGGCACCCATACACAAGCAAGGGTGTGCAAGGGCATGCAAGCAAGTTAACCCAACTAACTTTTCAGAACAGAAAATGATGGAGTTTTCCAGGTTTGTCCCAAGATTTTTCCCTAGGGATCTCACCTGTTACCGCAATGCAGGAATCTAATGCTCTGTTTCTGCAAGCACATATGATCACCACATAGTTCGTCTTCACTAGCTTCCCTTCAATGAGCAGTTTAAACATTTCTGAAAGTCCCTCTGCCAGAGAGTAACTGCACTCGATGATATGGACGCTGTCATTGCAAGAGCTGGCTGCCAGCCCTGCTAGCCAGGGAAGCTGGGCCGATGTCATTGGTGCAATCTGGCTGGGAATCGGAGGGAAAGCCTGTGGAATGGCCTGTTGATACTGACGAATTTCAGAGAGGTGCGACTCCCGCCACGAGCGCATGAATATTTGTTCCAAATCCTCAATCAAAGGAACCTGGTCTGGAGCTAAAGAAACATCAGCATTAGAGGCCCATTATAAATCACTTGCAAATGATGTCGAACTAAAAATCAAGCCCCTCCCCTCTGAAAAATACAGCAAATTAAAATCCTTTGAGGACTGATTTTGCTCTGGTTTTACACACACAACTACATTTGTCTTCACTGGCGTTACAGTTGGTTTACAGCAGAATCAGCCCCTTTGCCCATATAAAAGATTTAGGGCCAGATTCCGGTCCACATTGCAGCCCCTTTGTGTCACCATGTAAAGCTTCCCTAACTGGGAGTAGAACATTCCCTCAGCACTGGGGAATCCCTAATTGGCTAAGACTCTACACCACACTCTTCCAGCATCCCACTGGTGAACGGGGTGTGTCAGGGCCTGGCTTGGCGGGGAAGGGAGGGCATGGCTAGTGTTTGAGAGATGTTACACTCAGTGTAAGTTAAAGCAACCCTCAGCATAGTTTAAAGTCAGGCCTCAGCAGCCCTAGCTGTCAGCGGGAGCAAATCTGGCATATAGCCACTTTTGTTCCATCCTTGGTTCCTACACAGAGCAGAAGTCTGCTGGACCCAAACGTCAGGGTCCTTTATCATTTCAACAATGACTTTTTGGACCACTGCTGGAATGCGAAATGGATATTCATTGATTTTAAAGCCGGAAAGGATAATTATGAGCAACTAGTCTGACATTCTATATATGGACTATAAGGTGGATAGAAAGCTGGATAGATCATCGGGCTCAACAGGTAGTGATCAATGGCTCCATGTCTAGTTGGCAGCCGGTATCAAGCGGAGTGCCCCAAGAGTCGGTCCTGTGGCTGGTTTTGTTCAATATCTTTATTAATGATCTGGAGGATGGCGTGGATTGCACCCTCAGCAAGTTTGCAGATGACACTAAACTGTGAGGAGTGGTAGATATGCTGGAGGGTAGGGATAAGATACAGAGGGACCTAGACAAATTGGAGGATTGGGCCAAAAGAAACCTGATGAGGGTCAACAATGCCAAATGCAGAGTCCTGCACTTAGGACGGAAGAATCCCATGCACTGCTACAGACTAGGGACCAAGTGGCTAGGCAGCAGCTCTGCAGAAAGGGACCTGGGAGTTACAGTGGATGAGAAGCTGGATATGAGTCAACAGTGTGTCCTTGTTGCCAAGAAGTCTAACGGCATTTTGGGCCGTATAAGTAGGAGCACTGCCAGCAGATCAAGGGACATGATCATTCCCCTCTATTCGGCATTGGTGAGGCCTCAACTGGAGTAGTGTGTCCAGTTTTGGGCCCACACTACAAGAAGGATGTGGAAAAATTGGAAAGAGTCCAGCGGAGGGCAACAAAAATGATTAGGGGGCTGGAGCACATGACTTATGAGGAGAGGCTGAGGGAACTGGGATTATTTAGTCTGCGGAAGAGAAGAATGAGGGGGGATTTGATAGCTGCTTTCAACTACCTGAAAGGGGGTTCCAAAGAGGATGGATCTAGACTGTTCTCAGTGGTACTAGATGACGGAACAAGGAGTAATGGTCTCAAGTTGCAGTGGGGGAGGTTTAGGTTGCATATTAGGAAAAACTTTTTCACTAGGAGGGTGGTGAAGCACTGGAATGGGTTACCTAGGGAGGTGGTGAAATCTCCTTCCTTAGAGGTTTTTAAGGTCAGGCTTGACAAAGCCCTGGCTGGGATGATTTAGTTGGGGATTAGTCCTGCTTTGAGCAGGGGGTTTCACCAGATGACCTTCTGAGATCCCTTCCAACCCTGATATTCTATGATTCTATGATAACACAGGTGACAGAATTCCACGCAGTGATTCCATCCAGCCCAACAGATTGTCATTGAACTAGAGTACATCTTTCCCAAAGATATCCAATCCTGATTTAAGAGTCCATAAACATTTTTGGCAGTCCTGATTTCAACGGGAGATAGAACTTATTAAGGACTTAATCCCAGGGGAACTGCAGATGCTCAGCATGTCTCAGTATTTGGCCCTATATTTTTTTAAGACCCAGCAATCAGCTCTTTCACTACAGCAGGAGCTCCTTTAGTTAATCTAAAAAGCACCTAGTCTAAGAAATCTTAGTCTTTACTCACCAATGGCAAAATGTAATAATTCTAGTCCAAGATTCTACACAGGTGCAAAAAAACTCACCTAATTGAACAAGGTAATAGACGGTTAGTAAAAGCTGCATTTCCTCTGAAATAGGCTGTATTGTAGAGGCACCGTACTGTTCATAAGCCCTAGATATGGACTGTGAATTTCTGTAACAGGTGTACAAAAGAGGGCTGACTATAATGTCATTAAGGTTCCCACAAAGATAAGGGAAGTTCCCATGACCTGTAATATAAACAATATTTGCACTTGTCAGATAAACTTAATTTAATAATTCACTATGCCGCCATCAAACAGGTCACTAACACTTTAAATGGTAACAGCTCGAATAATATTTCAGCGCTCAGGGGAGTCAGCGAGAGAGATTAAAAGCAGTAGGTGAAGCCATGTGTAACACCCTGGCTTCATGTGTTGTGTCCCCATAATGATTAGTTCTATTCTAGATAGCTGCTATACTGTGATCCGCACCGCAGAAGCCAAGTGCCTTGCAGGAGCACATTAAGCAATGTAAATAACATCGGCCACGTGTGCTGTGGTTCATTCTCTCATCCTCTTCCAAGGGGAACAACTGTGTGTGGAGTGGTTTGTTTTGGTCAGGTTTTCTGTTTGGTTGGATTTTGCTGGGGGAGGGGTTGTTGGTTTTTTTTGTACATGCTGTTTTGTGTTTAGTTAGAGAAGGCCAGTCAAAGTGCACCTTGCACTTGGAGCGGACGGTGGTGAGGTTTGTGATGGTCCTTAGTTCCTGTGGGAGTTCATTCCACAGTCTCAAACCAGCCTCCAACGAAGCTCTATCACCTGCACAGATGAACTTTACCCTAGCTCCCCTATACCAGATGAGCAGAGAAGTCGACCATGGTCTTCATCCCAGAGCTTTAGGTGATCTTCTAGATATGCTGGGCACAAGCCACTGAGCACCTTAAATATAAGGACTGAGAACGTTCCACATAGAGAATAAGAAATTAAGGGTATTACCAGCTAATAGAGGTAGCTCAAGTGGCAGAAGCCTGTATTTTAGAGGCTGAAAGTCCTAGGTTCAATCCCTACTCTGGGGAGCAAAGCTGTTACAAAGTGAAGTCCCATATACAGAACAGAACTGTTGATTTCAGATGCTCAGAAGGAGCTTCCCCTGAGAGAAGAAGAGTATTGCACATTGACTTAGTGCTTGTCTACACAGTGCATTGGTGTGCAACACACTAGTGTGCACTTACTGTGCGGACCCTTGCGCACACTCAGTGTTCCTTAGTGTGTGCTGACGTAGTCCCATTTCAAACAGTACTGCATCAATGCACACTAGGGAACTTTCAGTGTGTGCCAGCAGGGTCCACATGGAGTTAGTGTGTGACACACTGGTGTGCACTAGATTTTACATCCCAGCTGGTGTGTACTAACTCTAAAGCTATGTCTACACAGCAATTAAACACCTGCGGCTGGCCCATGTCAGTTGGCTCTAGCTACAGGACTGTTTAACTGCAATGTAAACATTCAGGCTCCGGCTGGAGCCCAAACTCTGGGACCCCACGAGGGGGTAAGAGCCCGGGTTCCAGCCCAAGCCTGAATATCTACACAGCAATTTTTAGTCCCGGAGCACAAGCCCCACGAGCCCAAGTCAGCTGACCTGAGCCAGCCATGACCATGCCATGAGTCTTTTATTCCAGTATCAGAGGGGTAGCCGTGTTAGTCTGCATCTGTAAAAAGCAACAGAGGGTCCTGTGGCACCTTTAAGACTAATAGAAGTATTGGAGCATAAGCTTTCGTGGGTGAATGCAACCACGCACCAGCAACCACGCACCGCACCATAACAACTCTAACTCAGGAACCAACCCATGCAACAAACCTCGATGCCAACTCTGCCCACATATCTACACCAGCAACACCATCACAGCACCTAACCAGATCAGCTACAACATCACCGGCTCATTCACCTGCACGTCCACCAATGTTATATATGCCATCATGTGCCAGCAATGCCCCTCTGCTATGTACATTGGCCAAACTGGACAGTCACTACGCAAGAGGATAAATGGACACAAGTCAGATATCAGGAATGGCAATATACAAAAACCTGTAGGAGAACACTTCAACCTCCCTGGCCACACAATAGCAGATGTAAAGGTAGCCATCTTACAGCAAAAAAACTTCAGGACCAGACTTCAAAGAGAAACTGCTGAGCTCCAGTTCATTTGCAAATTTGACACCATCAGATCAGGATTAAACAAAGACTGTGAATGGCTATCCAACTACAGAAGCAGTTTCTCCTCCCTTGGTGTTCACACCTCAACTGCTAGCAGAGCACCTCACCCTCCCTGATTGAACTAACCTCGTTATCTCCATACTGATTTATACCTGCCTCTGGAAATTTCCATTACTTGCGTCTGATGAAGTGGGCATTCACCCACGAAAGCTTATGCTCCAATACTTCTGTTAGTCTTAAAGGTGCCACAGGACCCTCTGTTGCTTTTATTCCAGTGTAGATGTACCCTAGGTGTATCATGGCTGCTCCCCAAAGAAGATAATACCCTACTACTTAGCCAGCATTTTACATGAATAGACTGTGCAAGCTTTACATCTGTCCCTCACAATACACCAAAGCTGCAATGCTTTCTAATACTCCCCCATCCCAACCCAAACAAAGACTACAGGTGTTCCTAAAATACCTGATAGAATTGTGATGTAGATAATGTCTACTTTAGTCTAGACTGAGATGTAAACACGGAGTACCCATCACAAATTTAAATCTACAAAGGCCAATGCATTAATTTATGGCCTTACACTCCTTAATTGTTGACCAATCTTGTTCCTATTGCATTAAATGGGAATTAAGCATTTGATTTGCATGGGAGCAGGATTACAACCTTAAGCTTTTTGGACCTTTGCTTTTTGTTTTAGGTTTTTTTGGGGAGTGGGTTGATTGGTTGGGTTTTGGGGTTATTTCTTATAATTATCAAGTTAATTAGTTAATGTTTGCACATGTAAAATGCTATATAAGTTTGCTCTCAGAATACATTAAATTACCTTTAAGCCTGTGTCCAGTGTGTTTAAAGTTTCTTCCCTAAATTATAAAAGCAGGCCAATATCTTTGCATGTCTCTTACACACACGGATAGTTTTTTTTACCTTTAAATATAACTGGTTTTGCTTTACATATTTTCAGCAAGTTATCAGGAACAGAAACTGGTTCTCCAGAGGCCACCATTGGAGAAGAGACTGGTCCCACCAGAGTAGAATGTGTCAAACATGATAGTCCTCCCACATCTAAGAATTAATTCATAATGTTAATACAATCAAGTAATAATCATATTGATGCAAATAAATTCAGAATGTTGTTTTCCTTGATGAAGAGTATTAAACACCAACCAGCATGTGCATTCAAGATCAATGTTCCATTCTTTTTACAATTACAAAACAAATGACTCATGAAATGCTAATAAAGCCTGTATTTATTACGTTGGGTTCCTTGGAGTAATAATTACATTTCCAAGCCCTTGAGTATCACACATGTCTAAACATTGTAAAATGAGCATAAAAAACAACATGCCGGCATGAGTTCAATAATATGGGCAGGCGTGGCTTTATCAACAGCAAACATGTATGATCTGCATTTTTCCACTATAGTAACATATTCAGGTGTTCTGATTCCAAGGGAATGTTCTTGCTATAAATACCTAGAGAGGGAAATTAAAAATCACCAAAATGTATCATTTTTTTCAATATCCCATTTTTGATAGCAGTCATACTCCAAACAACAGGAGATAAAAAGACTATTTTAAGGAAAGCTAGTAGATTACAAGACTGATTTCAAAGCAGTTAGATGCTGAGGCACTTTTCAGAATCATCTGAGGCACCTAGATGGATCTTTAGGCTCCTAAATACCATGTGAAATCTCACCCTTCACTCATTATCTTTTAGACAAAACAATTCAACTAACTTACCATTTTTATTTCTATTTGGAGTCTGCAGGTTGGGCTGCAAGTTCCAAGTTTCAGTCGATGATGGCGACTCTGGAGACCATCCTTTGTGGCGCTTTTTAGGAGGCCCTGAATTTGTTAAAGTGCCTGGGTAATATTAATACATCAGAAAATTATTAATATGCAAAATGGACGAATATTTTTAATTTGTTAAATCACATGCATGACAGTCCGACATGATTTTTGATAGACCAGCCTTGTATACACATTAATTATTATACTAGTTTGCATCAAACATGCACACAGACTCACTAGTCTGTATATGACCTTTATTTTACTGTACTACATTACACCTTAATAATTTCAACTCTCCAGGGCAGGGACGTGTGATTCATGGTAGCACAGTTCATCTATTTTACAGCACTGTGAGTTCTGGGAAAACGATACTAGTATAGCATTGATTAATATGTTCTTACCCTGGAAGCCAAGAACATATATGTTTTATTCCTTGTATGTCCAGATACAAGACTCAAAATAAGCAGATTTAGCAATTAGGAGACATTGGATAAAATTTGCCAAAGTGCATTCAGGGACTTAGGAGCTTTTGAAAACATTACCCACCATCATTATTTTTGCCACCCCATACTGGTTATCAGCTCTATTCCTCTAATATTCAAGGTTGGCAGCTGGAGAGACTCAGCAGCTGGCTCCGGCACCTTTGTTTGTACTACCAAACACCATGCTGAGCCACATTTCTGCTGAAGTTACTGGTCTTTGATTTCTTGTGTTTTCCTGTGCATTTCTGCAAATTTCCAGGATGGTGAACTTGCACGGTTACCAATGGGTATTTCTGACCAGTGGATGTTAAGGGTTTTCTAGGTTTTGCTCAGAATCTTGCAAGACTTAGCTCTTAGTCTCACCATACCTTAATATGCAAAGGTACCAGCACATCTATTCGCACTGTCAAGGCTATCTTGACAACAGAATGGTTATTTCCATGTATACTTGAAAACCTGAGTTTGAGTCTTATAGACTAAAAAAAAGGTTATGACATTTTCTTTGTAAAAGATACCATACAAAAATAAACTACAATGTATGTGCAGAACTAGCATGCCTTCAGATCTGGAATAAAGTTATTCGCTTGAAGATTCATCATAGAGCTAGTATCTATTAAAAAGATAGCCTTTTGTCCTTTATATTTTCCCCACGTGAGGGCAATATATGGCCATTTGTTCTACTTTCAATTACTTATCTTTCCAGCATAATCCACAGCAGAAGGCACAATTTCAAGAAGAGCAAATCAATATAATGTATTTATTTTTTGCAAATCCCCAAATCCTGCCAGGTCTCACATGGGTTATGTAATTAACTGACATCTGATGGTTTTCTTTGTGAAATGAGAAGGTGAGATCAGTCCATTTTCTAATAAGCAAGTGCCCATCCACTTAGAGAGGCAAAGTGGTCAAGGACGGAGTGGGCTTGGAAACTGAACTGGGATGAGGCATGCTGGCAGTGCAATTCAGTGAAGATTACCTAAAATTAACCTCAAATCTGATATGGCTATTAAGAATTTTCCTGCCCAAACAGCAGCTCCATGGTGCTTGCGCAGAAAAGTTTGGCAATCACAGATCAGACAGAACCATGCTGGACAACCATTTAAAAACAATATTGTTCCTGGTGCAGTCCAAAGAATAATGTGAACAGTGTCTTAAAATCTGGAGCTAGATGTCTAAGTGGAATGATCTTTCCCAATGTGGACTGCATCCTTTGATAAGTAGCTTCGGACTGGTCAGAATAAAGCTTTCCTGGATCATTGAATTGATGTATAAAACCTGATCTGGAGTGACTATAAGAAACTGACACAGACAAATCCTTCCAAGAGTCAGGACGCCGAGTAAAGGCTGCTTTCTTTTCAAACTAAAATAAGAGTAAAATGAAGTAAAAATAATAAATTACTGTTCTGACTTCTACGGAAGCCATGTCAGAAAATACATAAAACACACCTTGAAAGTTAATAAGGAACAAGAGATTTTATTAACACAATGACTCTTAGGGGAATATTCTGATCCAGAAACAGAGGAATTTATGCCAAATAGGATACTCCAATTTCCCCTCACGTAACCAAATCAGAATATACTATTTAGATTGTTTAAACACAAAGTTCAAAGGTACCTAAGACTGATGGTCTTGTCAGAGCTGGCAGGTTATTTTTCACCAGCTGTTGTTTGGGAGAATCTTTGCCATTGTAAACAGTTGAACCTAACGCTGCTGTTGATGGGAGATGATCAGATATTGTGCCTGCCACAAAAAAAGAAGCTATTTTAAATAAATGATTAGAGAGGCAGATCCTCAGATGGTGTAATGAACTGATCAATTGGTCGCGGATTTCAATGGAGCTATGACAATTTACATCAGCTGAGGATCCCCTCATAGTGTTTACAGCACTGAACACAGTGGGCCCAGTTTGGATCTCATATCAGTTTTACAATAGTGTAACTCCACTGACTTCACTGGAGTTACTTGGGGTTTATATGTGGATAAGGCCCCAATCCTGCAATCAGATCCACACATTCAGCCCATCAGCATGAAGACACCTGCTTCCATGGGAAGCTCACTGCAGGAATGGGCCTTAAAAGAATCACGCATTGTATCAATACAAATAAACTCAAGCAAAATTTTGAGTTTACATTTTTTTCCCAAACATCTTTTTTATTTATCAGGAGTTGACAGTGTCATATTAATAAATAGGTAGATTTTACTAACCCTAACTCTGTTTATAATTACTTTTACTTTTTCTACATTCATCTTTTGAAAATATACACACATCAGTGATGTCCTAGGGGGATTAATGCTTTGTTCTCAATAGACACCAGGTTTCCAAATCTTAACTGTTTAATATATTTGGAGTTTAGGCTCCTCTCTGATAGAGAGAACAAAAATGTCAATGGAGTTACTGCAGTTCTCAAAATACAAATACCCATCACACTCACAAGACACTGGACAGCTGATTTCATTAGGAGGAAATCCAGAGAGATCATTTCACCTTTCATCAGTAAACACCTACCTATTCACCCCAGGAAATGGAAAAGCAAACCTTCAGAAAGTAAATATTTTTAACCATAGAAGATATGGTTATTTTTTTTTAAATATGAAAAACTTGACCTTAATATGTCTGAAATATAAAAAATAAACCAATGCCTTTGCTAGCAAAAGAAAAAACCAGAAGCTTTTAACCTAACTTCCATGTAACCTCTGAAATAAAGAGGATTCCCACTCATATCATAAAATGGATCAGAGGAACAAACTGAAATAAACAAACAGATTTCCAAAGCATTTGTGGCTAGATAAGCAACAGCTGCAAAATGGTAAAGTCCACTTTCACCACCTTACAACAGATGGATCTCAAAGATTTGGCTTGTCCTAGCTATGAAGAAGATTACTGACTCCAGAAGAGAAACATTTTCTGACCATTAAGCTATTTGTCAACTCTTCATCAATAACTTTGAAAAACCACTTGTAATGAAAAAGCCATCAAAGAACCATTAACTTTCTTTTTTCAGAGCTATGACATTATTATACCAGTTACTTGATTTAGTTAACCCAAACATTTTATTCATTTTGTGCTGTGTTTCCATTTATACACACACACACACACACACACACAAACACACACACAAATATTTAGTAACCCAAAGGGTTTCTCTTCTCCAAGTTACCTGTTTGTTGAGTCCCAGCCGGAGCATTTGGGTTTGGTGCTGGAACAAGCTCACTTGTGGTGATTAGCGGGGGACCAGAACTCTCTGGAGGTTGGAACAAAGTGCTTGAACAAGGACCAGATGAAGCCTGTCGGCCTCTGAACTCTAAGAAAACAAGACCCTTCCACTGAGAAGCAATACAAAAGCTTTATCTTTGCAAATTTAAATTGCGAATTTAGAACATGAACTAATTTGATTCAGTTGCTATGATATTTGGAAAGCGGGCACTAACGGTTTGTCAAACATGCCATCTTTTTATTAGACAATTGCTTTCTACAGCTGCTCTTTAGTAATCACCTAGCTTTAAAGACTCCTTCTTTTATCTGTCTATCTCAGGCTTTTCTCAGAGGCCAATCTCTGTGCTATCTAAGCTCTGCAGACGAGAACCAGAGCTCCAACAAGACAGCTTCATTATCTCACCTGCCCCTTTCCAGCAGATTACAGATCCTTTGGTAAGAGCTCCTTGTGCATTCCTGACCAGATAATACTTTAAGTGTTTCTGTTTCTTGGGCTGAGTGGTCAGTTTAAGATTGATGTGATTTGAAAATTCAGTAAAGTAGCAGAAGCCCTTCTTGCCACAGCCAACACAATTGCCAGAGAAACCTGATAAAATAAACAATACAAAAGATCTGGTAAGATAGGTGACGGTAATATGTAGACACATCACTTCCCTTGGGATGGTGAGCATTTGTTGTAAATAATTCATCTGATACAAACATTTTCTTACTAAAAAAATTATGTCAAAACCTCCAAATTGCACTTGGCCATCAGGTTTCCTAAATTAAGCTTCACAGTTAGTAAATACATACCTTGTTTTCATTGTCTATGGTTATATTTTTCATTTCAGACCACTTTCAAAAAATTCCAGATACCTTCATACCCAGGTCATAGAAATGGAAACGGGCTTTTTAGGCTTGGTCTACACTACACAGCTTTTAGCGACACGGCTGTGTCGCTAAAAGTCAGGCAGTGTAAACGCTGTTTGTCAGCACTTTTGCCAACAAAATACTTCTACCCCCTAAGAGCAGGGTTCGTGTTGTCAACAGGAGAGCACTCCCGCCGACAATGAGCCGTTTACACTGCCACTTCCCGTGGCAAAACTTTTGTCTTTCACAGGGGCTTTTTTAAGCACCTGTGATGACAAAAGTTTTGTCATTCAATTGGCAGTGTAGACAAAGCCTTAGACTATTAAGGCCCTGACTAGAAAGTACTTAAGCATGTGTTTAAATCTATCCCTATGCAAGACAGCACTGAGCAAGCGCTTAACTTTAAACGTGTACTTAAGCACATTTTTAAAGTGCTTTCCTTATTAGGGTTGCTCTCCTGAGTCGGGGCCTTCAGAAGGAAGTATAGCAAATCCCTCGTGGGTTGCTGACTTAAGACAGCCTTCCCAAATTCAGGGGCTAGTCTGCGTGAGCAATCTGCAGTATCACAGGATTTGTTTTAAAAACTATTATTTATCTGTATGATACCACGGTGCTTGGGGCTAAATGGAGCATGAAGGAGACACGCTCCCTGCTTGTGCCAAAGAGTTCACGGCCTGCTGGGATAGCTGCTCCACACACGGAACTCCCAGGGACTTTGTGCCATTCACTTAAATGGGAATTCCTCACACTGAGAGACTGTAGGATTGAGCCCCAAGGAGCAGGTTTTGTGCTCTATTTGTTATTTAAATATATAACAGCACTCCTTTGGGGGCAGATTGACACTGATAGGTTAATTTGTACTGTGGTCTGGGATAGCCTTATTTTTCTTGCTATTTTGTTATGTATTTACATAGGAATTGTCATAATGGATCAGACCAGCACTCCACATAGGCTAGTACCCTGTGAAAGAAATGGGCGGTTATGGAATAACCGGTTCCTATGGACATTTCTTTCTACTCCCTCATCAGTTAATATATGGCTTAAGCCCTGAAGAATCAAAGTTTTCCTTTCCTTTCCTTTAATCCTATCTAATGCACATGTGGATGTGTCATCATCCGCATAAAGGTCTAATCCATTTTCGAATCCTAGGATCTTTGCCAGGAAAATCATGGGAAAACTCTCATATGAAGATTGAGAAGAAACTCTCATATGAAGACTGAAAAGATTGAGATTGTTTACCTTAGAAAGGAGACAAACAGGAAAGGATGTGATAAATGGACAAAGAATAAGGAATGGTCTAGAGAAGGTAGATCATGAGCTTCTGTTTCCTGTCTAATATTACAAGGAAAAGGGGACATTCAGTGAAATTGAAAGATGGCAAATTAAAAACCAGTACAAGGAAATTCTTTTTCATTAAATGGGTGATTAAACTGTGGACCTCATTAATACAGGATGCCACTGAGGCTAAGAATTTAGCAAGATTCAAAAAAGTGGCTGGACATTTATATAGATAACAAGAATATTCAGAATGATCATAGTTAATGCTAACACATTTTGGAAAGGATATTAAACCTCATACTTCAAGGCTTAAGCCCAAACCTAACTATCAGGGTTAGGAAGACACCTAATGTAGGGAGCAGATTATTCCACATCTTTCTAATATGAGGTTGAGTGCATCTTCCTCTCAAACATCTGGTACTGGCCACTGTTGGAGACAGGATATTGAACTACATGGAGCCCAGGTCTGATTTAGTATTGAAATTTTCATGGTCCAGTATATTGCTGCAATGAGTTCCACAGATTAATTACTCATATGTTAAAACTATTTTCTTTTATCAGTTTTAAATTAGTTACTCTTCAATTTCACTGAATGTCCTTGTTTTGTGGGTTATAAGAGAGTAAATAAGAATGGTTTTACTTTCCACCATTTGTTATTTTGAATCCTTCTATCATTTCCTTCTTATTCACTTCTCCTCTAAATTGAAGAGTCACAATCTTGCTAAATTCTCTCTACACTGAAGTTTTTTGATGCCAATAATCATTTTCTTAGACCACTTCTGAACTCCTTCAGTTTCTGATTTATTTATGTTGAGGTAGGTGCCCATATCTGAACCCATTATTCCAGGTAAGGATGTACCATCAATTTATATAGCAGCATTATAATATTTTCATTATTATTTTCTACCCCAGTCTTTATACATCTCCACATTTTTTATTTTTATTTTTTTTTGCTTTTTGGCCACTGCTGCCCACTGAGCAGGGGCCTTCAGAGCTATCCACAAGTCAGCCCATATCTTTCTTATTCACCCATCCTGTCTGTTAAGAGGTTCAGGGAGGAGTTTAAGACATAACCCCTCCCCCAGCCCCCTGTGGAGTGGCACAGCACTGCACCAACTCTACTTACAAGGCTACAATTTTGCCTGATCCTGAACCCACTGGAGTCAATAGCAAAACTCTCCTTGGCTTCAGTGGATGCAAGACGAGGCTTCCTATTCAATAGGTGATAATAGGGAAGCTTATGTTAATATTTTAAGTCACATCTTTCACACAAATTAAGTTTTCAAATTAACTGTCAATATTTTTGTTTTACTGAGATAAGGTAAACTAAAAGCACAGCCACTGAAATATAATGCTCTATAAACACTTGTTCAGGAGAATACCAGGAAAAGTATTGTTCGCTCTGCTTACAAATCTGATTACTCTCCCCATTAGCCTCGTAACGGCTCAGCAGAATGTATTAAAGGCCAAAATTCATCCTCTGTTGGTCTGGTATCTAAGAGTACTAGATCTTTTTGCTGGGTATATGTTGGAGCTAAAGTGTATTGAAATATGACTGTTACATCTCAGGTTCTGGTATATAGGTTAGTAAAGGTCACTATGACTTATAACACTAGGACAAATTAGCACTCTGCATAAGCCTCCATATTAAACCAGGTATCACAAAACCATCTGTCTAACATCACACAAACATCAACAGTAACAGGACAAAACCTTCAGTTACTTCAGTAATTAAAGGCAACAGTAAAAGGAACCAAAAATAAAACCAATGTGATTAAAGCTGTACAGTGTTACGTGTGTTCTAACCAGATTCAGAGTTCATGAAAACTGGAGAATGAAATCCCCTGTTCATCCACAGAACACAGAAACCGTGGCCAGCAGCAGTGAACTTTTCCCTACACTGACACCTACCCAGATTTTTTTTAAGCCTGACCATAGAGGGGACCATTTCCTATTGCAAGACAGTGTTGTCTGTGCATGTTCTAGCCTTTATCTATTTGCTGAGACCGACTGCCAGGCTGCCAAAACTGGTGACAGAAACAGCTGTCCAGTGAGAAGCAGGTCATGGAGCACAAAATCTTTTCATGTGCACCACAGAACGGTCACTTGGATCAGTTACCATGATACAGTGCCTGCTCTGTGGTAAACTTGAAAAGAGTTCGTGCTCCATGACCAGCTTCCTACTAAGCTTCCTAAATCACTCACTTAGATCAGTGACCACAAGCTGGACCAGACTCAAACTAGCAGAGACTGCACTGAAAGGTTCCATAGCCCCTTACGGACCCCCTGAGCAATCTCATTTAGCCATGTGAGATCAATTAGGAAACCTAATGTTCACTTAGGGCTCATCTACACTTAAAATGCTTCAGCAGCACTGCTGTAGTGCTTCAGTGTAGAGACTACCTATGCCTGCAGGAGCGATTCTCCCATCAGCATAAGTAACCCACCTTCCCAAGAGGCAGTAGCTAGGTCAATGGAAGAATTCCTTTGTCAACCTAGCGCTGTCTACACCACAGGCTAGGTTGGTATAACTAGGTCTCTCAGGAGTGTGGATTTCTCACAGGGATTTATTGGAACACTGCAAGTACCAACTCCAGCACAAGCAGGCAGGACTGAACTTCCTGCTAACCCATAGGTCAGATCAACAACATAACAATGTACAACACAACACCTTAACACTCTGATAAAGATATAGCACCATATACTGGATGAGTTGCTGTCTACAATAACCATTACAACTTTCCCCCCTCTAGTTAAATAAGAGTTTAAAAACAGTAACTGCTAGGAACCCAGGTAGTCTGCCATCCATGCAGGTTTCTGTGTTGGTCTGCCCACTAGAGGCCTATATTCAGTCACTGACATCTCATTCATAGTTGGATGTAGATTATCAGTAACTGCAGGGTTCATGTCCTCTATCTGTTGTACACAGACTGTCTGCTGAAGACAGCATGTGCTGAGGTCCCAAGAACATCCCAGCAATTCCTCCTCCACAACTGGCCTCCCATTATGACCCACAGGAGCCTGCTAGGTTCCTGTTCTGCATCCTTCTGGGATAATTGTTGGGTATCCTCAGTGTTTGCCTTCCCCTTTCTTTCAATGAATGTGTGCACCAGTTTTTGATGCACTACAGAATGGCAAGGTCTTACTTTCTGTATCAGTAAGGATAAGCTGTTTAGTTTCTTAATCACTGTGTAACATCCCCTCCAAAAAGGAGTACTTTGGGGATTTTTTCCAGACTGTTTTTTCCAGTTGCATAGCTATACCTTTTCTCCTTCTTGGATGGGCACAATTTTCTTTTTTTCTGGCATCTTGTATCTGACATGCTCGCTTCCAACTCATCTGTTCCTCCATCTTCTGGAATGCTGTCCTCAGGTCACTGATATACGGCTCCACCACATCACCCACCTGCATAAGAGCAGGGGGTCTTGCCAGTTCTTGAAGCCTGAACATCAAGTCGCA